AGGCTATTGGTTTATCGCCTCATTGGAAGGACGACACCCGTGAGAATGCAGCACCCTCCCCCAGAGCCGCGTTGGAGAGTCGGCTTAGACTGTGCGATTCTAAGTCCTTTCTGTCTCACAAGCGAGAGTGAGCGCGAGCGCTGAGCCAGGTTGAGACCGCTCTGTGCAGTGCGGGGCAGCGGTTAGAGCGCTCGCCTCGCGAGCGAGAGGACCCGGGTTCGATTCCTGGCCAGATCGAAACTTTCGGCAAGTTTCCTTACTCCACACGCACACGCGACTCTGTTTACCCAGAAGCAAGTAGGAGCCTTAGTCGATTAGCGGATTACTTTTTCCGGGGTGGGGTGGGGGGTTAATAATTCCTTCAAAGATATAACAACAATGACTAAATTGGTCACTGCGGCCCACGACTGTTTACGGGACGCTGCTGTGCGCAATTGGCTGCTGCGCTTCGCCCACAAAATGGACAGTCAATTCACTTTGCACTTTACATTCTGCGAAGCGCTTCGAGACGTTCTCGAAGACGTGATCAGGCGCTGGATCAAGTGAAAGGATTATTATCGTTTTGACGTGCCAGCCCGACAGAGGTGGAGAAGCTATCAGAGGTCAGGCGTAAGAGGCAGAGATTGACAAGGCGTGCAGCGACAAGATTCTGAGGCTAATAGAACGTGAGGATCCGAGACACTGAGAAGATCTGAACGGTGCAGGGCTTGACAGGTTGATGAAGGCTGACAGGAAGATGCCAGAAAAAACGTTCCGAGGCAGTTAAGCATCATTAAATGCTGCTCAGGAAAAATAAAACCCTTAGCTCGGATCACAGGAGCGGCCTGAAATCACACGCACAGCGAGTGTCCGCCAGGCAACCCGGCAAATTAAACAATAATTGCGTAGTCCTGTAGCTCAGTTGGTTAGAGCACTCGCCTCGCAAGCGAGAGGAACTGGGTTCGATTCCCGGGCAGGGGGCGAAACCTCGGGCGAGTTTCCTTACTCCACACACACACACACACACGCCTCTGTTTACTCAGCAGTAGGTAGGAACTCGGATGTTAGTCGATTGGTAGTTTGCTTTTCTGGGGATAATAACCTCTTCAAAAAAAAAATCGCAGTCGGAAGTTGGTCCCTGTCACTCAATCCACTCAGACTGTTTGTGCGGACGCTGCTGTGCGCAATTGGCTGCCGCGTTTCTGGGTAGTTGGGTAGCTCTTCCAAAGGGGCCGAATGGCCTCCTTCTGTGCTGTAAGATTCGATGATTCTACGACGGAACAAAGCAGGGGAAACCGGGGGGAAAGCCTCTGCGGTTCAACGAAATAGCGTCGACTGAGCAATCCCTTTCTACCCGTCTGAATCACAAGCGTCGCGAAGAACGAGTGGAATCAAGCAGAATTTTTCCCCCTTAAACGGCCAGCGTCCCCATGGGGTAGTGCCGCAGGTTCACAAACCGGCTGATTTGCTGGTTCCGATTCCCGGTGAGAGATTGCTTACCCGCTGGTGGCTAACGATGTTGTACTCACAATCCTGCCCGCGTCCACTTTACAGCGCAAAATGCTGCCACCGCACCATTAATCCGTGCGTTTGTGAGACGCAACTGGGTTTATCTCTGTTCTGTGTGTGTGTGTGGGAGTGTGTGTGTGAGGGAGAGTGCGTGAGAGGGAGTGTGTGTGAGGGAGAGCGTGTGTGAGGGAGTGTGAGTGTGTGTGTGAGGGAGAGTGCGTGAGAGGGAGTGTGTGTGAGGGAGAGCGTGTGTGAGGGAGTGTGAGTGTGTGTGAGGGAGAATGCGTGAGAGGGAGTGTTTGGGAGGGAGAGTTTGTGTGTGAGGCAGAGTGTGTGAGTGTGTGTGTGAGGGAGTGTGTGTGTGAGGGAGTGTATGTGAGGGAGAGTGTGTGAGGGAGTGTGTGTGAGGGAGAGTGTGTGTGAGGGAGAGTGTGTGAGTGAGTGTGTGTAAGGGAGTGTGTGTGTGAGGGAGTGGGTGAGGGAGTGTGTGTGAGGGAGTGTGTGTGTGAGGGAGCGTGTGTGAGGGAGTGGGTGTGAGAGAGTGCGTGTGAGGGAGTGTGTGTGTGAGGGAGTGCGTGTGAGGGAGTGAGTGTGAGAGAGTGTGTGAGAGAACGCCACCTAACGATCTCCTCCGTTGTATTGCAAACATCTAAGAACATAAGAGGATAAGTATTTGCTCGGGGAAGGGAGACCGGTTTCCATTTTGTTCGCCTTCCACCATCCTGGCAGTCGCTTGACATGTCGGGTCCCAAACCATACACTGCATCCCCGGATATTATTCCCCGGCGGAAAAAACCTATCTAATTTGCTCTCGAAACGTTTTCTGCTTCCACCGTCTGTCTTCTCCCCGAGGAGCCCCCGTTCAATAAGTTTACGACTTACTTATTTACTTTATTTTACAACGTGCGAAGGGATCAGAGACTTGGGAAAGAACCAGAGGGGAGATGAGACGAGGAGAAATCTTTGTTGCACGGAGAGTTGTTACGGTCTGGAAAGCACTGCCTGAAAGGGGTGATGGAAGCAGATTCAATATTAACTTCTGAAAGGGAATTGGATAGGGACTTGAAACGAAAAAAAGAATTGCAGGGCAACGAGCAAAGAGCGGGGGGGAGTGGGATTAATTGGGTTCCTCGTTCAAAGAGCTGGCACAGGCACGATGGGCTGAATCACCTTCTTCTGTGCTGTAGGATTCTGTGATTTGCCCGGAGATCGAATTAATAATAATAATAATAATCCTTGCATTTGATATAGCGCTTTTCACGTCGGGAGGACGTCCCAAAGCACTTCACAGAACACACTGTAAAGTGAATTGACTGTATATTTCTGGGCGAACGCGGCAGCCAATTGCGCACAGCAATGTCCCACAAACAGTCGTGGATTGAAAATGACCAATTTATTATTGTTTTTGGTTTTGGAGGGATTATTATTAGGCTCTGTGTGGAGTAAGGAAACTTGCCCAAGGTTTCGCCCTCTGCCTGGAATTGAACTCAGGTCTCTCGCTTGCAAAGCGAGTGCTCTAACCACTGAGCTACAGGACTCCACAATAAATTAAATAAATAAATTAAAATTTTACAGTGAATTCCGTGAAGCGCTTTGAGACGTCTGGAAGACATGATAAGACGCTACATCAAATGCAAGGATTATTATTCAAGTATGATAATACGAATCAGTCTCTCAGTTCCCAAACCCAATCCCATCCCAACCTGTTAAGAGTCCCGGGACCCCAAAATTCCCCCCCAGTCTTAGCCCGCGGGAAGCCAGCTTTGGCTCAAAGTTTAAGGTTTGTGGAAAAGTCTTAAAAAAGTTCGGTACAGATTTGGAAACCGGTTTCGTTTCAAGAAATGTGTCTAAAAAAACAATTGGTCTCTGAATCGATTCTGAACTGAGGAATTTTCCATGGGTTTCCACAGCTGTGATTGAATGAGTGAGTGAGTGAGGGAGGGAGGAAGGGATGGAGTCTTACAATTTAAACCTGCTTGAGGAGAACCATGAAAAATTCCTCAGTTCAGAATTGATTTCGATGCCAATTTTTTTTTTTAAACACATTTCTTGAAATGAAACCAGTTCCCAAATCCTGACTGAAATTTTTAGGACTTTTACACAAACCTTAAACTTTGAGTCAAGTAGGTTTCCTGTGGGCTAAGACCGGGGGGGGGGGGGGGGAATTTTGTACCCCGGGACTCTAACGGGTTTGGGATGGGATGGGATCGGGGTTTCTGGGCTGAGAGACTGATTCATATAATCATCATAATTGTGAATAATAATCCTTGCATTTGGTATAGCGCTTCACGTCTTTGAGACGTCTCAAAGTGCTGCTCAGAATTCACTGTAAAGTGAATTGAATGTCTATTTTGTGAGCAAATCGTAGAACCCTACAGCACAGAAGGAGGCCATTCAACCCATCATGGCTGTGCCGGCTTTTTGAAAGGGGAACCCAATTGATCCCACGCCCCCGCTCTCGCCCCACAGCCTTTGCAAATATTTTCTTTTCAAGTCCCTATCCAATTCCCTTTTGAAAATTAGTATTGAATCTGCTTCAATCACCCCTTTCAGGCACTGCATTCCAGACCGTAACAACTCTCCGTGCAACAAAGATTTCTCCTCGTCTCATCTCCCCTCTGGTTCTTTCCCAAGTCTCTGATCCCTTCGCACGTTGTAAAGAAAACAAGTAAATAAATAAGTCGTAAACTTATTGAACGGGGGCTCCTCGGGGAGAGACAGACGGTGGAAGCAGAAAACGTTTCGAGAGCAAATTAGATAGGTTTTGCTGCTGGAAAATAATATCCGGGGATGCAGTGTATGGTTTGGGACCCGACTGCCAGGATGGTGGAAGGCGAACAAAATGGAAACCGGTCTCCTTTCCCCGAGCAAACTCTTATCTTCTTATGTTCTTAGATGCTTAATACAATGAAGGAGATTGTTAGGTGCGCCCACCATCCCCCACCCCCACCCCCGCAACCCCCCACACATCCCCCAACCCCTCCCCGCTGAGCCCGACTATGTTTCAGAGACCGGGTATTGATAGTCATCGCCAACATCAACATTGCAAAATATCTCAATGCCCCCCGAGACCTTCTTTTCAACCTCCCAAATAATAACAATAATAATCCTTGCATTTGATATAGCGCCTCATCATGTCTTCGAGACGTCTCAAAGCGCTTCACAGCGCAGGATATACTGTAAAGTGTAGTGACTGTGTGTTACGTGGGTGAAACTCGGCAACCAATTGCGCACAGCGGTGTTCCCCCAACCGTATCTTAACAAAAAAGTGAGGCTCGCTCAACAGCTTCTCCGGGTAATTCTATTTATAATTACACTCCGTCGTGGAAGCAGGAGAGATTTGCAAGGTATCCCGTCTAATTTTTTCTTGCTCTGTGTCTCTCCCCGACGAGGCATTAAAACGGGATTAGCGAGAGGCGTGGAAGGGACCACGACTTGCATTTGTAGAGCGCCTTTTCGGGTCAGGAGGACGTCCCGACAGACAGCGGAGTGGAGAGCTCAGGGCTACTTACGGACTGGCAGGGTCTCGAAGGTCTGCGGCTGACTGGGCTCTCCCTGTCCTTTGCCGTTGACGGCCGACACTCTGAATCGGTGAGTGGTGTTGGGCTTCAGGTGGGTCAGGACGAAGTGCGCTGCGGGCACAAGGAGAAAGGTGTCAATCACTGCGTCAGTCACTGCCGCGCTCGCTGTATATTCTGGTGAAGCGCTTTGAGACGTCTCGACGATGTGATCAAGTGCTTTAGGATTATTATTATTATTATATAGTATACTATCAACAACCGGGAGAGTACCTTTTGATGAGCGCCAGAGGAGCTTTAACTTCCGCCTGAACGCATTTATTACGTCCAGGCACGACTACGCCAACTCCCAGCCTCCCCGACGCTTCCCTCCACAAGCTGCAGATCATCCAGAACTCTGCAGCCCTTGTCCTCACCCGCACCAGGCTCCGTGAACCCCATCAACTTCCCCTCACCGCCACGACCCCCACCCCCACCCACCCCCTCCCCGCCCGGCTCCCCAATCCCTCAGAGGTTCGAGTTTAAAATCCTCGTCCTCACCTTCAAGGCCCTCCGTGGCTTTGCTCCTCCCTTCCTCTGTGACCTGCTGACTCCCATATCGACCCGTCCGCTCCCTCCGCCTGACGGGCTCCTGCCTGCTTCATGTCCCCCACCGCCCGGCCCGGCCCTGCCCCACCATCGGCGGTCGTGCCTTCACCCTCTCCTCCTCCTACCCTTTGGAACTCCATCCCTCAATCCCTTCACCTGGGCTCCCTCCCTCGCCTCCTTCAAGACCCGTCTCAAGACCCTCCTCTCTGACCGCGCCTTTGGTCACCCTCCTAAGCCCCCACCCTCCCCGCCCTCTGCGCCTCCTGATCCCAACCCCTGACTGTCCAGCGCCTTGGGACGTCCTCCCGACGGGAGAGGAGCCGTGTAAATGTCACGTGTTGTCGCGGTTGAACAGTCACAGAAAGAGCTTCGGTTTAAGGGCTCATTCAAAGGACGTACCACCTTAAACCTTAAGGCAAAGCAGGCGCGCAGGCTAAGACCAGGTGGAATTACGTCCTGGTTATCAGTGATGCGCGGGGATTGTTGGGGTGGGGTGGGATGGGGGGGGCACAAATCTGGGGATAGGGAATAATAATAATCCTTGCCATTGATACAGCACCTTATCGCGTCTTCGAGACGTCTCAAAGCTCCTCACAGGCCACACCGTAAAGTGTAGCGACTGCGTATTTTGCGGGCGAAACGCAGGCACCGTAAAAAAGTGTGGTGACCGTGTGTCCTGCGGGCGGAACGCGGCGACGGACGGCAACGCGGCGTGGAGGACACCACTGCAAGCACGTCCGCTCGGGTTCCTGCGCAGGGCATCACGAAGTCTTTAGCGCTGACACACAGAACTCTTATCTGTATCACAAATCCATTAGCGAGTGATCTTTAACGGCAGTAATAGCATTACACATGAATGCCTCTCGCTTTCCGACTTAATAGCATTAAAACCTCCACTATTCCCTGTGTGCTGCGGTGGCAAGAATCCAAAGCTACAGGCTTTGCAAAAGCGGCAGCTCGGAAGCTGGAAGGAGCTCCATTTAACCCCCAGGCCGCCGAGACTCAATGCACAGAATCTCCCACCGCTCGGGCTGGGCTCGCGCTGATCTGCTCAAACACGTTAGGATCTTGGGTTCGATTCCCGGAGCAGGGCAAGTTCCCTCCACTCCACACGCACACGCACACACACACGCACACGCGCACGCACGCCTCTGTTTACCCAGCAGTAAGTAGGAACCCGGTTGTTCGTCGATTGGTGGTTCGTTTTCCCGGGGGTTAATAATCCCTTCAAAAAAACACCTCCCCAAAATAATAAATTGTTCACTTCCATCCACGACTGTTTGCGGGGACGCGGCTGCGCGCAATTCGGCTGCCGCGCTTCGCCCGCAATATACACAGTCGATTGACTTTACAGTATATTCCGTGAAGCGCTTTGAGACGTCTCGAAGACAGGATCGGGCGCTATGTCAAATGCAAGGGTTATTATTAGTATTAATATAAGATGATGGTTCCTTGTACTCTCAGTGACCCCCAAAACGCACTGAGATTTTCCAGCTGTTCAGGTTTCTCTCTCCCATGTCGGCGGCAATTTGCTCACCGAAATTAATCCCTTTAAACTCATTAAACTGACGCATTTTTGTCAACAAGAGAAAGAAATAATACTTGCGACTTAGAATTAAAAAAAAATGCTAATTGCCACAGCTGTGCGTGCGGTAGCTAACCTGGGGAGATTTATATGTAATAATAGTAATTATAATCCTTGCAGTTGATATAACACATCATCGGCCATTGAGACATCTCAAAGTACTTCATAGGACATCCTGTAAAGTGATGCGACTGCGTACATTTTGTGAGCAGTGTCGAGGGAGCTTTACTCTGACTCTAACCCTGACCTGGGAGTGTGGACGCACAGTGTAGAGGGAGCTTTACTGTGTCTCTAACCCTGACCTGGGAGTGTGGACACACAGTGTAGAGGGAGCGTTACTGTGTCTCTAACCCTGACCTGGGAGTGTGGACACACAGTGTAGAGGGAGCGTTACTGTGTCTCTAACCCTGACCTGGGAGTGTGGACGCACAGCGTAGTGGGAGCTTTACTGTGTCTCTAACCCTGACCTGGGAGTGTGGACGCACAGTGTAGAGGGAGCTTTACTGTGTCTCTAACCCTGACCTGGGAGTGTGGACACACAGTGTAGAGGAGCGTTACTGTGTCTCTAACCCTGACCTGGGAGTGTGGACACACAGTGTAGAGGGAGCGTTACTGTGTCTCTAACCCTGACCTGGGAGTGTGGACACACAGTGTAGAGGAGCTTTACTGTGTCTCTAACCCTGACCTGGGAGTGTGGACACACAGTGTAGAGGGAGCTTTACTGTGTCTCTAACCCTGACCTGGGAGTGTGGACACACAGTGTAGAGGGAGCGTTACTGTGTCTCTAACCCTGACCTGGGAGTGTGGACACACAGTGTAGAGGAGCGTTACTGTGTCTCTAACCCTGACCTGGGAGTGTGGACACACAGCGTAGAGGGAGCTTTACTGTGTCTCTAACCCTGACCTGGGAGTGTGGACGCACAGTGTAGAGGAGCGTTACTGTGTCTCTAACCCTGACCTGGGAGTGTGGACGCACAGTGTAGAGGGAGCGTTACTGTGTCTCTAACCCTGACCTGGGAGTGTGGACGGACAGTGTAGAGGGAGCTTTACTGTGTCTCTAACCCTGACCTGGGAGTGTGGACACACAGTGTAGAGGGAGCGTTACTGTGTCTCTAACCCTGACCTGGGAGTGTGGACGGACAGCGTAGTGGGAGCTTTACTGTGTCTCTAACCCTGACCTGGGAGTGTGGACGGACAGCGTAGTGGGAGCTTTACTGTGTCTCTAACCTGCATGAAGTCAATCATTACTCACTTGATAAGAGTATAAGAGAGAAACGCTAATGCTCTCGCCCCGTTTATAACAGTCCAGACTAAGCGTCGATTGACTCCGAATCCATTTATCATGTCAGCCAGTTGAATCAACCCTGATTTCGTTTCTTATCAAAACATCTAAATCAAAATCAATTCCCACCAACTCAAGTGATTTGATTGCGCGATTCAGGCCATTGCGTCCAAAATGACACTGGCTGCTGGCAAAAAAAACACCGCGCGTGCACACACACACACACACACTCACACAGATACACACACACTCACACAGACACACACACACACACACTCACACACACACTCTCACACACACACACACACACACACACTCACACACACACACACAGACACACACACACACTCACACACACACACACACACTCACACAGACACACACACTCTCACACACACTCACACAGATACACACACACTCACACACACACTCTCACACACACTCACACAGATACACACACACTCACACACACACACACACACAGACACACACACACACTCACACAGATACACACACATTCACACACACACTCTCACACACACTCACACAGATACACACACACTCACACACACACACACACAGACACACACACACACTCACACAGATACACACACACTCACACACACACACACAGACACACACACACACTCACACAGATACACACACACTCACACACACACAGACACACACACACACAAACTCACACACACACTCACACACTCAAACACACACTCTCACACACACACACACTCTCAAACACACACTCTCACACACTCACACAGATACACACACACTCACTCACAGACACACACAAACACACACACTCACACACTCAAACACACACTCTCACACACACTCACACAGATACACACACTCACACACAGACACACACAAACTCACACGCACTCACACACTCAAACACTCAAGCACACACTCACACACACACTGACACTCTCGCACACACACCCTCGCCCACACATACACTCAAACTCACACACTTACACATACACTCACACAACCACACATACACACACACTCACACTCACACACACACTCAAACACACACTCTCACACACACTCACACAGATACACACACTCACACACAGACACACACACACAAACTCACACACACACTCACACTCTCACACACACACACTCAAACACACACTCTCACACACACTCACACAGATACACACACACTCACACACTCAAACACACACGCTCACACACACTCACAGATGCACACACACTCACACACAGACACACACACACAAACTCACACGCACACACACTCACACACTCAAGCGCACACCCACACACACACTGACACTCTCGCACACACACCCTCACCCACAGAAACACTCACACTCACACACTTACACATACACTCACACAACCACAACCACACACACACACACTCTCTCTGAGCTTAAATCAGGAACAGAATCAGCAGTCTAGGCTTTAGCTGCTCTCCCACTGGGTATCACAGAACAGATTAATACTAATCCTTGCATTTGATACAGTGCCTTTTCACGTCTTCGAGATGTCTCAAAGCGCTTCACCGGATACGCTGTAAAGTGAATCGACTGCATACATTTTGTGGGCGAAACGCGGCAGCCAATCGCGCACAGCAGCGTCCCCACAAACAGCCGTGGATTGAGTGACCGATTTATATTATTTAATGTATCTTGTGGAGGGATTATTGCTCCTGAAAAAGCGATCTGCCAATCGATTGACAACTAGGTTCCTACTTACTGCCGGCTAAACAGAGGTGTGCGTGTGTGTGCGTGCGTGTGCGTGTGTGTGTGGAGTAAGGAAACTTGCCTAAGGTTTCGCCCTGACCCGCCCGGGAATCGAACCCGGGTCCTCTCGTTAGCTGTGACCAGACAGTCAGTGGCCTTCCAAGTGGCCAGATGGTAATTTTACGTGAGAAACTACCTATGGAGCATCGGGATAAGAGAGAGAGAGGGAGAGGTTTTTTTTTGACACAGGCACATTAATATTCTGTCAGGCGGTGATGATAATTTGCTGCCTCTCTTAAATTCCCGTTTCTAATTTGCCTTTGCAGCCCTCGGGTGCCCCAGTTATTATTTTTTGTGATTAATAAATGAATCACCAATCTCTAGCGGCTTAAAATCCGAGTTCCTCCCCGAAGGCTCGAGGCTGGGAACATGCGCTTGTTGTCCTAACTAGTGCGGGAAAATTAGCTTCCAGAGGACACGGTCACCAGACTTTAGGGTGAAGCTCGTAGCTCGGCGGTTAGAGAGCTCGCCTCGCAAGTGAGGGGGACCTGGGTTCGATTCCCAGGTTGGGTGAAACGTTGGGCAAGTTTCCACACTGTTTACCTAGCAGTCAGTAGGAACCCGGTTGTTCGTCGATTGGTGGCGGATCGCTTAATAATCCCAGCGTAATAATCCCTTCCACCTCCCCCCCACCCCACCCCAAAAAAATAAATAAATGCGGTCACTCAATCCACGGCTGTTCGTTCGCGTGTGGGGGGGAACGCCGTTGTGCGCAATCGGCTGTCGCGTTCCGCCCACGAGATGTACGGCCTTCTGCCTCAATCGTTCACCATTCTGTTTGATCGAGCGCCATCAATCTCAATCATGCTCCGGTGACTAAAACACCCACCCATTTCCTCGGTCAGGAGCTATTCATCTCAATCACTGGGCGCGAGCTTCATTCGCAGGCCAGCGCACTTCAGCATTAGGACGCCGTCGGCCTGGCTCGGTCGCCGATGCTCTCGCCTCCAGCTCTTGTTGTTTTCAGCCGGCCGAGCGTCACGAGGAACACGTGAGGATTACGCGCGGACTCCTGCAAGTTAGCGGTCAGAGCGCTCGCCTCTCAAGCGAGAGGTCCCGGGTTCGATTCCCGGGGCGGGGTGGGGGGGGGGGGCGCGAAACGTTGGGCAAGTTTCCTTCCTTCACACACACACACACACACGCACGCACGCGCGCACACACACCCGCCTCTGTTTACCCAGCAGGAAGCAGGGCCCCCGGCTGTTAGTCGATCGGCAGATCGCTTTTAACGAGGGTAATAATTTGCTCACTCCATCCACGACGGCTTGCGGGACGCTGCTGGGCGCAATCGGCCGCCAAATGCGTACAGTCAATTCGCTCGAAGGGTGTTTTCTCTTTGACCGTGCCTTCAGCTCCCCTCTCGACTCCCTACCCCCTCCTCGGTCCCTCCCTTCCCTCCCCTCACCCTGACCATTTCCCCCCAATGCTCGGGTCCCGACCCAACTGTCCAGCGCCTTGGGACGTCCTCCCGACGTTGAAAGGCGCTCTATAAATGGAATCTTGTTGTTGTTGTTGTGCTCCGTGAAGCGCTTTGAGACGTCTTGTGATGAAGGCGCTGTGTCAAGCGCCAGGATTATTATTATTATTATATCCCATGTCATCCTGCTCAGCAGCCTGCAGACCAAACCGGGAACGAGGTTGCTGGGGGGGTGGTGGGGGGGGGGAGAGCCCCGCATTCTCGGAGGTGCGGCCCTTCGGATGAGACGTTAACCCTAGGCGGACGCTAAAGATCCCGCGGCGCTATTAGAAAAGAGAAGAGAGTTTCTCTGTCTCTCTCTCTCTCTCTCTGCAACAATCCTGGCCCCAGGTACAAAATAAAACGTTCGGTCATTTCAGGGCTGTTTGTGGGTCTCGGGCTGTACCCAAATTGGCTGCCGCGTTTACCTAAACAATACGCAGCCCCCGTGGAGCACTTTGAGACAACAGCAACGACCCTTTTCCGGAGAGCTTGACAGTGGCGGAGTCTGACCCCGAGCCGGGGGTGGTGGTGGGGTGGGGGCTGAGGGGGGGGGAGAGGGTTGGGGGGGGCAGAGGTGAGTAAGCATGATCAAACAAGGAAGGTCTTTAGGCGGGATTTGAAGGCGGGGAGGGAGGGAGGGAGGGGGGGAGGGAGGGAGGGAGGGGGCGAGACGGAGGGATTGAGGGAGAGAGTTCCAGATTTTCGGGGTGTAGTGGGGGGAGTGTGGGGGTAAATTTGCATTTACATAGCGCTCCTCAGGCAGGGCAGGATCCCCGCTCGCTTGACATTGAGATGCGAAAGGCGTCGTATCAAATGCTTGGATGATTATTATTATTATTATTATTATTATATTATTTGGTTAGTTGATTAGCTTCGTTTAGAAACAGGGGGAGGAAAAAAATCAGCACAGAACCAGCCCGCTTAGTTGGAGAGAAATTCTCCGCGACCTGCGCTCTCTTACTTTCGCTTCCGTTGGAGTTGACGGTTCTCCAGTCCTCCCAATCCGCCTCTTTGAAGTCCACCCGATAATGGTGGATGGGGATCCCTCCGTGGGAATCGGGTTTGGTGAAGGAAATCTTCGCCACCGTCTGAGACACCGAGACCACCCTCAGCCCGTAAGGACGGGAGGGCACAGCTGCAAAACAGGGCAGTTACTGCTGCTGACATCAGCTCACAAATTATTATTTGTCTGTGTGTGTGTGTGTGTGTCTGTGTGTCGTGAATGTGTCTGTGTGTGTATCTGTCCGTCTGTGTGTGTGTCTGTGTGTTGCGAATGTGCCTGTGTGCGTATCTGTCCGTCGGTGTGTGTGTATCTGTGTATTGTGAGCGTGCCTGTGTGTGTATCTGTCCGCCTGTGTGTGTGTGTCTGTGTGTTGTGTGTGTGCTTGTGTGTGTGTGTGTATGTTGTGAGTGTGCCTGTGTGTGTGTGTGTTGTGAGTGTGCCTGTGTGTGTATCTGTCCGTCTGTGTGTGTGTCTGTGTGTGTGTTTGTGTGTGCATGCTTGTATGTGCTCGTGTGTGTGTTGGGGGGGGGGGGAAGGGGTTGTGTATATTTGCGGAGTACGCGTGTATATGAGCGTATTTGAGTGTGTATATAAGTGTGCATGCATATGAGTGTGTGTGTATTTGAGTGTGTGTATGTGTGTTCAATGTATACGAGTGTGTGAGTGCGTGTGCAAACGAGTGTGTGTGAGAGTGTGTGTACATGATAGTGCGTGAGAGTGTGTATATGGGTGTGCATACGAGTGTGGTGAGTGTGTATACAAGTGTGAGAGAGTGTGTGTGAGTGTGTGTGAGTGCATGTGAGTGTGTGGAAGCGTGAGAGTTGTGAGTGTGTGTGAGTGTATGTGAGAGCATGTGAGTGTGTGAGAGTGTATGTGTGTGTGTGTGTATGTGAAAGTGTGTGAGTGTGAGTGCGTGTGAGTGTATGTGAGAGTGTGTGAGAGTGTGTGAGAGTGAGAGTGTGTGTGAGAGTGTGTGAGAGTGAGTGTGAGTGTGTGAGAGTATGTGAGAGCATGTGAGTGTGTGAGAGTGTACGTGAGTGTGTGTGAGTGTACGTGAGAGTATGTAAGTGCGTGTGAGTGTATGTGAGGGTGTGTTTGAGTGTGTGCGAGGGTATGTGAGAGTGAGTGTGAGCGTGTGTGAGTGTGTATTTGAGAGCACGTGAGTGTGTGAGAGTGCGTGTGAGAGAGAGTCTGCGCTCTCATGCCTCCACGTTCCAGCAACACGCTCAGGAGATTGATGGGCGCGAAATAAAATGCCTGTGTCCTCCCAACCTGAGCCTCCGCAGTGTCTGAGATCAGAACCACATGGGCAATAAACCAGTCAACGAGGCTGCGTCTGGGTTAAGTGACCACAGACAGACAGACAGACAGTCAGTCAGACACACGCAACCCACCGGCCACCTTTTGCGAGCGTTTAAACGAGAGCAAAACGCCCCCCACCCCACCAACACCCCCCGCCCCCGCCCGCCCCCGCCCCGATTGCTGACGGGAACTCTCGCTGAATCTCTTCCTTCTGAAGTGCGCACACATGGACTCGCGCCCCGGGGCGGGAGCCCTCCCCCCCACCCACCCACAGCCCCACACCCCACACCCCTCACCCCCCCCCCACCACCCCACACAAAAATGGGCGGCAGAGAATGTGATTTCGCCCACAAAACACACGGTCAGGCGGACTGACGGTTCAAAGCAGCACTGTGGGGGGTTGGGAGGTTTTTGGGGGGGGGTGGGAGTGGGCGGGGGGGGTTTGGGGGGGTGCAGGCGGAATGGTGGGGGTGGGAGCGCGCTGCATTGTCAGAGGTACCGTCAAAGTACCCAACCCCCCGCCCCACCCACCCCCCCCCCCCCAACGCACACAACTCTACTGGAAAAGAGCTTCTCCCGCGCTGTGGCCAACGATAATAGTCATAATCCTCGCAATTTGATACAGCGCCTTATCACGTCTTCGAGAAGGTCTCGAAGCGCTGTTCGCGGGGACACGCCCCGCAAAGCGAACCGACTGTGCGTTTTGCGGGCGAGACGCGGCAGCCAAATTGCGCACAGCGGCGTCCCGCGAACTGCCGCGGGTTCGACGCGACAGATTCATTAGCGTTTCGTTGCTAGCAGATCGGGGGCCGGGGGCCGGTCTGGATGAGGAAGAAGAAGAAGACCCTGTTGCCCGTTCGACCAGTCGCTCTTGGTGGCTGTTTGCGGCGCTGAGTCTGTCTGCGATGCAGCGACGACGTCTGACAGCAATTTCGACAAGATGAGGCGCTGTCAGAACGCGAGCCGCCTTTTCTCTATTCTCTCCTCTTTCTGACCTCTAATGATCTCTCCCTTTATCTCTCTCTCTCCCGTTGTTTCTTTCTGTTTGTTTCTCACTCTTCTCTTCTCTCTCTCTCTCTCTCTCTCTCTCTCGCGCCTCCATAAGAAAGCAAGCTGCCTTTCCTCTCTTTTCTCCTGTCCCTTTCTTTCTCTCCCTCCCTCGCTCTCTCGTTTTCTCTCTCTGTCTCCATCTCTCTCTCTCTCTCTCTCTCTCTGTACTAAGCCCAGCGCAGACTTACCTGCCTGGACAAGGATGAACTGCTGAGATCTGGTCCCTATCCTGTTGCCGGCCGTACAGTTGTAGTTGCCAAAGTCCTTGTCGGTTCGTGGTGTGATCTTTCAACAAAAAAGAAACAAGTGTTTTGCTTGACCCATCACATCGTTCAACATCTAACCTTCACTCCCGAGATGAGCTTTACTCTGTATCTCGCGGACTGTCTGTGTGGGGACGCTGCTGTGCGCAACTGCCTGCCGTGTTTCGCCCGCAAATCGTAGTCGAAATTCGCTTTACAGCGTATCCTGTGAAGCGCTTTGAGACGTCTCGAAGACGTGATGAGGCGCCGTATCACCGTGCAATGATTACTATTGTTATTATTTTCTAACCCGTGCTGTCACTGACCTGGGAGTGCTGGATAGACAGTGTCGATCGAGGGAGCTTTACTCTGTCTCTATCCCTGACCTGGGAGCGTGCGGGCAGACAATCCAATACAAAACGACAATTTGTATAGCGCCTTTCGCGTGCGGAGGACGTCCCAAGGCGCTGGAGCGGGAGCTTTAGTCTGTATCTAACCATGTGATGTGGCTGGCTTGGGAGTGTGGATGGACAGTGAGACTCGAGAGTAATACTGTAGGATTCCTCTACAGAATACGCAGTGACAGCATACTTTACAATGAATCCCGTGGAGCAACAACAAGTTACAATCATATGAGAGTGTCTGGGAGCGCTGCTCTGAGGCGTTAATCATAATAATAATAATCCTTGCATTTGATATAGCGCTTTTCACGTCAGGAGGACGGCCCAAAGCGCTTCACAGAACACACTGTAAAGTGAATTGACTGTATATTTGTGGGCGAACCCGGCAGCCAATTGCGCACAGCAGCGTCCCACAAACAGTCGTAGACAGGCGTTCCCCCTGACAAAGGTGCTGCATCAATTCAAATTGTTGTTATCTAGGAATATTACCAAGACAGTGGAACAAGAGCACCAAGCTTTATAATAACAATAATCCTTGCATTCAATATAGCTCCTTATCTTGTCTCAAAGCGCTTCACAGAATGTACTCTAAAGTGAATCGACTGTATATATTTTATGGGCAAAAGGCGGCAGCTAATTGCGCGCAGCAGCGTCCCACAAAACACTTGTGGATTGAGTGACCACATATATATATAATATATATACATCATTTTTTGAATTACCCCTGGAAAGCAATCCGCCAATCGAGTAACAACCTGGTTCTTGCTTACTGCTTAGGTAAACAGAGGCGCGTGGAGTAAGGATTCGTATTAAAAAGCAGTTTGAGGCTGTGATGGGGCGGTGGTGGGTGTGTTGTGGGGAAGGTGAGATTGGAAGAAGCTGCGGAATGTTTTTTTTCAACTGAACTAATCGTGCGATCTTGTTTAGGAGCTTATAGCTGATCAGCGCAGAAGAAAAGAGATGTTGCCCAGTCGGAGACCCTATGAATCAGTTCAGAGGAGTCCAGTCCTCTTGGGCAAAGCTTGCTGTTGCTTTTCAACAGAATGTCTATTCCCCGCTATAATAAACTCTCCGATTGAAAGCTGCGCAGTGCTTGGCGTGATACAGGCTCGCAATAAGCTCCACCACAGGGTGTCACTTCCTAAAGCCCACAGAATTTAATACCAACGCTTTAATCTCCTTCCCCAAGAGTTCCCAGATATAATGTTCGAGCTCTCAGTCTGCATCCTGCTGGTGAGTCACTAGGACCTTCTGCTAATATCTCATCATCGAGACGGTTTCATTTAAACTTCCACAGCCCTTTATTCTGGGATGCGGGAGGGAGGGAGGGAGGGTGGGGGAAAGAGAGGGAGAGCGGGGGAAAATGAGGGAGAGCGGGGGATAGAGAGGGAGAGCGGGGGAAGGAGAGGGAGTGCAGGGGAAGGGGAAGGGAGGGATGAACAATAACTACAACTTGCATTTTATTACAGCATTTATATAGCGCCCTTCACTCTGGGTAGCATCCTGGAGCGCTTGGATGAGGGATGGAAGGAGGGAGGGAGGAAGGGAGGAAGGGAGTAAACAGAGGCGTGTGTGTGTGTGTGTGTGGAGTAAGGAGACTTGCCCAACATTTCGCCCTGCCCGGGAATCGGACCCGGGTCCTCTCACTTGAGAGGCGAGTGCTCTAACCACTGAGCTACAGGACTCCACAAAGTTGCCACGAAGGGTGTCTGAGGCCAGAACACTGGGACTCATTCAAAAAGCAGCTTAATAACAACAATAATAATAGTAATCTTTGCATTTGATATAGCGCTTTTCACGTCTTGTCGACGTCTCAAAGAGCTTCACGGGGCTCAAACCCACAATTTTTGACTCAGAGGCGAGAGTGCCATCCATGCACTGAGCCAAGTTGACACAACACAACACAACACGGCCAGGGTCTGACCGCTCAACCCCCACCTCCCCTCATTCTTTATTCCTCAGACATTGTGACGTGCCGACCAGTCACTGGGGAGCAGGGAGTCCTCCCACTCAGCTCCTGTTAACCCTACAAGCCCAAGCCCTAACGGGGAGGGTGGTCCTAGCTGGACAAGCAGCGGGGAAGCTTGGCCAGACAGCGACATCAATGGCAAGCTACGCGGTGTTAGCTGGTTAGACTCCAGCAGTTACCCCCAACGCACACAGTTACCCCAAGCCTTGGCTCTTGCCAATCTCCGCCTAATACTTTCCGTAAGTAAAGTAAGTTAAGTAAGCAGGATGTGTCCCTTCGGGGGAGAGAGAGAGATTGCACATTCCATTCCATCAACCTATCTCTGGGTTTTCCGTGTGTCTGTGGGATACATGAAATTCTCAGTTTGGCTTGGTGACTGTTAATAATAATAATAATCCTCGCATTTGATACAGCGCCTCATCACGTCTTCGAGACGTCTCAAAGCGCTTCACAGCTACACTGTAAAGTGCATTGACTGTATATTTTTTGGACGAAATGCGGCAGCCAATTGCGCACAGCAGCGTCCCCACAAACAGCTGTGGATTGAGTGACCAAATACTTGTTATTATTATTTCTTTGAAGGGATTATCATCCCAGGAAAAACGATCCACCGATCAACTAACAACCGGGTTCCTACTTACTGCTAGGTAAACAGAGGCGCGTGTGTGGGGTAAGGAAACTTCCCTAAGGTTTCTCCCTATCTGGGAATCGAACCCGGGTCCTTTCGCTTGCGAGGCGAGCGTTCTGACAACTGAGCTACAGGACTCCGCTCCTAAGCACGGTGATGGGTTTACGCAGGTGTCAGACACCCGGCTGACCAAAAAAAAAACCGACTGGGAACGATTGCAATCGCAACTCCAATCTAAAACCCGCCACATTTCCAGTCTGAGTAAGTTCCCCCAGCACCGGGCAGTGAACGCAGTCACATTCAGGTGCTCAGTGAAGGCTCCTCTGGGTATTAATGTCCATTAAAGACCCTGAGAAGCACGAATGCTTTGATGGATTGAAAAGAAAAGCACACAGAAAAGCCGAGTCTCTCATCTGACCCCGGCTTAGTTGCCAGACTCTCCCCTCATTGTGAAAGGCGCTCTTAAAAAAAAAACAGATTAACGTTTCAAGAAATAAGTATCCGTTGGCACTAAGGCGATTAGTGCAAAATGCCTCTTTTTCAAAGGCCGTATTAACTTGTCAGCTGATCCCAAATTAAAGACACCCATAGTCTCTGGATTTCAAAAGGCGTTTTAAAAAAAAAACACCCAACAATAATGATAAGCTCAGCGCTCGCAGGATAAGGAAAGACGGTTTTCTCTCTCTCTCTCTCTCTCTCTCTCTCTCTCTCTCTCTCCCCCCCACCCCCTTATCTCCATCGCACCGGTCCTCGCCAGGCTCCACTGGCTCCCTATCACCGAATGGATCGATTTCGAGATCCTCTCACCCGTCTTCAAATCCCTTCAGGCCCTGGCACCTCCCTACCTCACCGACCTGTTTATCGCCGCCCGCAACCCCCCGCTACCCGATGCCCCCACTCGACTGGCTCCATCCGGCCTCCTGCTTGTCCCCCATCCCCTCCGTTCCACCATCCAATAATAATCCCACCACTTCCCCCCCCCACCCCACCCCCAGCCGATGCGTTAGTTTCATTACAGAACTGAATGTTTCGTCTCAAGACGCAAGCGAGTCTGACCAAGTCACTATACCGGTGTCAGCTTGGCTCAGTCAGCCTGGCTCACATTGGGACTTGGAGCTCACGGTCCATACCGACACTCCAGGACGGTTCTGGGGTGGGGTGGGGGGGGTTGGGGGGGGCTGCTGGGGGGTGGTGACGAGGAGCATTGCATTGTTCTTCAGTTTAAACCGAGATCCTGTCCGTCTGTTCAGGTGAGCGTTAGAAAAACCTCACATTCGAAAATGCGAAAGGCGTTTCAACGATCCCCCAGATATATCTGGTCGAAAATTGTTTGCCCTGTACGTGAGAGAATGGTTCTGAGAGTGAGAGAGAGGGTGAGGGTGTGAGAAAGAAAGGCTAAATGAGTGCGTGAGCGACTGAGCGCGTTTGAGACACAGTGCGTGTAAGAAAGATTGCTCGTGTGCATGAGGAAGAGTGTGGGGGTGTGTGAGAAAGAGACTTAATGAGTGTGTGAGAGAGACTGAGTGCGAGAGACAGCGCGTGTGAGAAAGTGTGTTAGGAGAGTCCGAATGTGTGTGTGTGTGTGTGTGTGAGAGAGAGAAACTGAATCTGTGTGTGTGTGTGTATGTGTGAGAGAGTACCAGTGAGTGAGCGAATGAAATAATCACTCATAGCTAAATAAATCGCAGCCCCGCTGACGAGCTTGTAATGATCCGCAGTGTGTGTGTGTGTGTTTGTGTGTGTGTGAGCGTGTTGCTTGTGAAGGTTGCTGCATGTTGAAAGCAATGCCTATAAATAGTGCAGTGCCTTTTCAGAGAAGGGAAGCACAATGCCGGTGCGACTGAACACTCGCTCGGGCATTGCTGGAAGTCAGGAGATGAAGTTCAGAGCAGAGAAAGATCTGCAGGAGCGGAGATCAAAGCCTACTCTCGTCTAATGCATCCGACTCACTGAACACCTCAGCTTCCAACACAATAGGCACTCGTCGAACACAGTCTGCACCTTCTCTCATTACCAAGCCCTGCACAGCACATAGTAAGTAAGCAGGGAATGTTTTTCGCAGAGAATTGGCGTCAAGCATAGCGCTTGCTTATTTTAGGACAGTGGGCACGTTTCCTTAACCTCCCCCTCCACCCCCACGCACGCCTCTGTTTACCTCGCAGTAAGTAGGGTGTTAGTCGATTGGCGGATTGCTTTTCCGGGGGTAATAAGATATTCAAAAATAATAATAATAATAATAATAATTTGGTGACTCAACCCACGAACGACTGTTTGCGGGACCCTGCTGTCCGCCACTGGCTGCCGCGTTTGGCCCGAGAAATAAAGACGAGTCACTACACTTTAAGGTGTATTCCGCGAAGCGCTTTGAGACATCTCGAAGACACGATGAGGCCCTGTATCAAATGGGAGGATTATTATTATTATGCTGTTGTTTAGTAGGCAAATGCAGCAGACAATTTTCGCCCTCTCTCTTTTTTTTTTGTTATCGCTTGCGAGGCGAGCGCTCTAACCACTGAGCTGCAGGACTCACGCTCCGAGTCCGGGTTTCAAGCCGCAAGCTTCTGCCCGAGAGGTGAGAGCGCGACCGACTGAGCTGGCACCTCTGGTGCGTGTGTGCGTGTGTGTGTGGGGGTGGGGGTGGGGGGACCCATTGCAAAGCCCATTGACTGACCTCCAGTAGGACCTTGGTCTCCTTCTTGTGAACGCTGATGTCGGGTATGTTCAAGTCCGGAAGGACGGTGCTTCCTCTCCTCCAGTGGATGAACGCCTGAGGGTTAGCCGACACGTCACAGCTGATGTTCACCGGGTTGCCCTCCCACGAGTAGTAAGTGAGCTGGGTCGACAGAAACTTGGGAGCGTCTGAAAGGGAGAGACGAAAGGGGTTAAGACTGAAGCAACGTCGATCTGCAGCTGGGTCTCAGTCCGTAACACTCTCTCCTCGAGTCCCCTGAAGATTGTGGGCGCGACGCAGATTCACCAGAAAAAAAACAGGGCTTAAAAAGGATTGAGTTATGAGGACGGGCTGCACACACTTGGTCTGTGTCCCCCTTGAATTTAGAAGGTTGAGGGATGCGACAGAGAAACTATCTCCTCTGGTGGGTGGGGTGGGCAATCCAGAACAAGGAGGGAGCATCACCTTAAAATTAGAGCCAGGCCGTTTAGGAGTGAAATCAGGAGGCAGTTTTTCACCCAAAGGGCAGTGGAAATCTGGAACTCTCTCCCCCAAAAGGCTGTGGATTATGGCGGGATCCATTCACATCTTCAAGACTGAGGTGGATGGTTATTTGTGAGGTCAGAGTATCAGGGGATATGGGGCAAAGTCGGGTAATTGGACTTGAGGTACAGATCAGCCGTGATCTAATACGATGGCAGATCAGCATCTAGGGGCTCAATGGCCTCTTCCTGTTTCTATGCCTTTGTAACTCTGACACAGAGGTGAGAGTGACGCCATGGACCCAGGCACTCTTGTGATCCCAACAACAATAACAATTCACGTTTGTACAGCGCCCTTCACGTGGGATAACGTCTTTGGAGCGCTTATCAATAGCGGGGTCGAAGGGAGAAGAGGGGGTGGGGGGGGAGGTGACGATAGGCACGGTTGAAGAGATTCGACTCACATTAATATTCCTTTCATTTGATATGTTGTTGAGATGTTTCAAAGCGCTTCACAGGATACGCTGTAAAGTGAATTGACTGTATATTTTGTGGGCGAAACGTGGCAGCCAATTGCGCCCAGCGGCGTCCCCACAAACAGTCATGGATTAAGTGGCCATTTTTATTATTTTTGAAGGCATTATTAACTCCGGGAAAGGGATCTGCCAATCGACTAACAACCGGGTTCCTACTTACTGGTGTGGGGATCACAGGAATATTATTATGAGTAGAATCTCTTCAACCGTGCCTATGGTCACCTTACACTCCCTCTTCTCCCTCCGATCCTGCTACTGTAAACTGAGTCACGTGTGGAGCAAGGAAACTTGACCAACATTTCGCCCCGCCCGGGAATCAAACCCAGGTCTCTCGCTTGCGAGGTGAGTGCTCTAACCACCGATCTACGGGATTACGCAGGTAAGAATGATCCTTGCATTTGATACAGCGCCTTATCACGTCTTCGAGACGCCTCAAGGCGCTTCGCAGAGTGTACTGTCAAGCGAATCGACTGTGTATTTTGTGGGTGAAACGCGGCAGCCAATTGTGCTCCCAAAAACAGTCGTGGATAAAGAAAGCGGGGTTGACAGAGAGATAGAGAGGTGGTGAGGCGGAGGTTTTGGTGCAGGGAATTCCAGAGGTCAAGGCATTGAGCAGGGAGGCTGGGACTTACATTGAACGTCCAAGTGCATGCTCCTCTGGTCTTGTCCGATGGGGCTGATGGCTTTGCAGTGATAATCCCCAGAATCAGCCGGCTGGCTGTTCTGATGAACAGAGACGACGTCCCTTTCTGTTTCCTCACCTCGATCCTCCCATCCTGGCTCTGCGTGTGGGGCGGGGAGGGGAGAAGGTAAAAGCAGTTTATGAATAGCTGTGAGGAGGTGCGGAGGAGGGAGAGGGAGGGAGGAAGGGAGAGTGGGGGAGAGATAACAGCCTGCCCGATTCACAGAATCAGAATCGTAGGATTATACAGCGCAGGAAGGAGGCCATTCGGCCCATCATGTCCATGCCGGCTCTTTGAAAGAGCTACCAAATTAAACCCACTTCCCCGCTCTCTCTCCCCACAGCCTTGCAAATCTGTCCTTCCCAAATATTTATCTATTAATCCCTAAATGTTTTGTGGGTGTGGGTGTGTGGGTGGGTGTTGGGGTGAGTGTGTGTGTGTGTGTGGGTATGTGTGTGTGGATATGTGTGTGGGGGGGAGTGTGGAGATAGTGTGGGGTCAGCAGAGTGCATATTCCATCCCGTCTCGGTAGATGAACCCTGGGAAAACAATTTTGAAATGAAGACAACCTGGGGTGGAAGGGTGGAACGAAACACATTGCTCGATTTGATTCCCGGGCGGGTCAGGGCAAAACCTTAGGCCGGTTTCCTTACTCCACACACGCGCCTCTGTTTACCCAGCAGTAAGTAGGAACCCGGTCGTTAGTCGATTTGCAGATCGCTTTCCCGGGGGTAATAATCCCTTCAAAAATAATAATAATAATAATAATTTGGTCACTCAGTTCGCGACTGTTTGCGGGGACGCTGCTGTGCTCAATTGGCTGCCGCGTTTCGCCTGCAAAATATTCAGTCGATTCACTTCACGGTATATCGTGTGAAGCTCTTCGAGACGTCTTGAAGACGTGATGAGGCGCTGCATCAAATGCAAGGATGTTATTATTGTTGTTGTTATTGCCTGACTAATTTTTTTGAGGGATTATTATCCCTGGAAAGCGATCCGCCGATTGATTCAACAATGCGTTGGTGCCTGAGCTGGACACTGCAGCAATTCATGAATCACGCATTCCTTATAATAATAATAATCTCTTGCATTTGATACGGCGCCTTATCATGTCTTCGAGACGCCTCAAAGCGCTTCACAAAATATACTGTCAAGTGAATTGACTGTATATTTTGTGGGCGAAACGCGGCGGCCAATTGCGCACAGCAGCGTCCCACAAACAGTGGTGGATTGTGTGACCAATTTATTCATTAAAATTTTTTTTTAAACGGATTATTACCCCATGAAAGCGATCAGTCAATCGACTCACAACCGTGTTCTTACTTACTGCTAGGTAAACAGTAGCCTAAGGTTTCGTCTCGAACCAGGATCCCCTCGCTCGAGGCAAGCGAGTGCTCTAACCAATTCTCTACCGGAGACTCCTAATACGTTACATTACAACAACTTGCACTTACGTATATTTCGCCCTCAACATATATACAGTCAATTTACAGTGTGTTCTTTGAAGCGCTTTGGGATGTCTCGAAGATCTAATAAGGTGCTGTATCAAATGCAAGGATTATTATTATTATATAGCGCTTTCATGTGGGATGGCGCAGCTGACACGGCAAAAGTGAAACAACAACAACTTGCATGTATATAGCACAACTCACGCAGGGTAGCTCTCTCTCTCTCTCCTCTCTCTCTCTCTCTCTCTCTCTCTCTCTCTCTCTCTCTCTCTCTTTATCTCTCTCTCTGTCTCTCAGAAACGAATAACGTTCACCTTCTTACCTTCTCTCCCTCCAGCAAGACGCTGGCGTTCCCTACCCTACGCCACGAGACGGTGGGAGCTGGTTCTCCGTCCACCTCGCAGGTGATCAGCACGTGGCCATTCTCAGTCGCGGTTGCGTTTTCCAGTAACGTGATGTGTGGTTGCACTGTGAGCAGAAAGAACAAGGGAAGGGGAAAAGATAACAATAATCATAATAATCATAATAATGATGAAAATAACTTGAATTTGATATAACCCTTGATCACATCAACAACAACAACAACACCACCAAAATTACGGAGGGAGCGAGCAGGATGGTAGGGGGTTAGGAGGTCGCAGAGGTAGGGGGGGAACAAGACCATGGAGGGCTTTGAAGGTGAGGACCAGGATCTTGAACTGTATCCTCTGTGTGATGGGAAGTCAGTGGAGTCGGGCAAAGATGGGGGTGATACGATCGCGGAGCTTAGTGCGGGAGAGGACACGGGCTGCAGAGTTCTGGATGATCTGCATTCTATGGAGGGAGGAGTTGGGGAGGCCAAGAAGCAGGGAGTTTGCATAGTCGAGCCTCGATGTAATGAAGGCGTGTATGAGGGTCTGGGTGGCCTACTGTGTGAGACAGTGGCGGAGATGGACGATGTTGTGGAGGTGGGGGAAGGGAAATCAAAAGCATGGTCAAAGAGGAGGGTCTTGAGATGGATCTTGAAGGAAGCAAGGGAGGGGGCGAGGCGGAGGGACTGCGGGATGGAGTTTCAGAGGGGGTCTTGAGACGGGTCTTGGCGTAGATGTGGGGTAGAAAGGATAGTTGAGGCTCTAACAAGATACCAAGATTCTGGACTGCCTTAGCAAGGTGGAGTGAGCAACCTTGGATGGTGATGCTGTCAGTGCCTGAGGTGCGGAGACGCTGACAGGAGCTAATCAGGAGAGCCTCGGTCTTCTTAAGAAAATGTTCAACATAAGAGCTCTCGTCCAGGACTTGATGCCCGACAGACATTCTGTCTGGACAGCAGTGGTCCTGGACTCGAGGGTGGAGGCAGAGAGATAGAGTTGGGTGTCATCCGCATACATGTGGAAGTTGATCCCATGTCTGCGGATGATGTCACCAAGAGGGAGCATAGAGATATTGAAGAGGAGGGCACCAAGGACAGAGCCCTGAGGAACGCCACACGAGAGCTAGAGGAGAAGCCATTTGTGGAGGTGAAGTGGAGGCGGTGTGAGAGTGACGATCTGAACCAGTCAAGGACAGAGCCGTGAAAGTTGAGGTGAGAGGAGAGGCGGTGGATGAGGGTAGAATGGTCAACAGTTAACCTTTCAGTCATCTCTGACACCAGAGAGCTCAAGGAGGAGATCAAGGAGGCAGAGGGAGCCCTGGTCGTAGATGGACTGAATGTCATTTGTCACTTTGACCAGGGCTGTTTCTGTGCTGTGGGCGGCACGGAAACCCGATTGGAGGGGTTCGTGAAGGGAGTGGCGGGAGAGGAAGGAGCGAAGCTGGGAAGCAACAACTCGTTTCAGGACCTTGGAGAGGAAGGGGAGTTAGAGATGGGGCAATAGTTTGAAAGCAGCGATGGGTCTAGGGAGAGTTTTTTTTAAGGATACGAGTGATGATGGCGATTTTTAATGGGGGTGGGAACAGTACCAGAGGACAGGGAGAGGTTTATGATGTCAGTTAGTAGAGGGGCAAGGAGTTGGAGCTGAGAGGTAAGGAGAGGGATGTGGATGGGGTCGAGGGAGCAGGTGGTCGGTTCAATCAACAACAACAACAACAACTTGCGCCCTTTGAGCAGAGTAGCGTCCTGGAGCTCTTAAATAGTTGAGATGGATCGTAGAATCTTACAGCACAAAAGGAGGTCATTCGGGCCATGGTGCCCATGCCAGCTCTTTGGAAGAGCTGCCCAATCAATCCCAGTCCCCCCACCTTCCCTCTGCACCCCTTATCATTGCAGATTTTTTTCCTTTTCAAATACCTATCCAATTCCCTTTTGAAAGTTGTTATCAAATCGAATGTCTTTCCACCACCCTTTCAGGCAGTGCGTTTCCAAAATAAAGTCAATAAGAAGGGGTGGTGGGGTTGGGGGAACAACAAAATCAGAAGGAGAGAGTTTATCGATCCGTCTTCAAATGCCTTCAGAACTTCAGAAGAGTTAACTCATGTCAGAGACGACTGAAAGGTTGACAATTCGGGATGACATTGTAATCTGGAGCAGCGCTGACATTTGTCAAGTGAACGTGGATTACTGTGCTCTCGCTCGCAGGCTGATAGTTGAAACCTCTTCCTCGCACAAAAAGGGATCAGTGAGATGGACAGAAGGTGGGCAGACAGAAAGTGCACCTATCTGTCTGTCTTTCTAGCAGCCATTCATTTCAACAATAATAATCCTTGCATTTGATATAGAGCATGATCATCATAGAATCAGAGAGCACAGAAGGAGACCATTCGGCCCATCGTGTCTATGCCGCTCTTTGAAAGGAGCTGTCAAATTCAATCCCACTCCTCCGCGCTCACCCCAGAGCCCCCTGCAAACTTGTCCTCCCCAAATAATTATCTACTTGTCTCTTAAAAGTTGTTATCGAATCGGCTTCCACCAGCCTTTCAGGCAATGCATTCCAGGTCCGAACAACTCGCTGTGTAAAAAACAAAATTTCTCCTCATCTACCCTTTGAAGTCCCTCATCCTGGTATCATCCTGGTCAACCTGCTTTGCACCCTCTCCAATGTTTTGACATCCTTCCTAAAGTGTGGTGCTCAGAACTGAACACAATACTCTAGCCGTGTGAAAACATTTCTCCTCATCTCCCCTCTGTTTCTTTGAACAACTATTTCAATTTGTTGTCCTCGGGTTACCGACCCACCCGCCAGTGGAAATAGTTTCTCCTTGTTCACCCTATTGAATCCCCACATAATTTTGAAAAGTTCTATTAAGTCTCCTCTTAATCTTCTCTGATCCAAGGAGAATAATCCGAGCTTCTCCAGTCTCTCCTGATAACTGAAGTCCCTCATTCCTGGTACCATCCTGGTCAATCCCCTTTGCACCTCTCCAATGCCTTGACATCCTTCCTAAAGTGTGGGGCCCAGAAATGAACACAGTCTCTAACTGAGGCCTAAACAGTGTTTTATATAAAGGTCCATCATAACTTCCTGACTTTTGGATTCTATGCCCCTCTTTATAAAGCCTCGTATCCTGTATACTTTTTTTTAACAGCTTTATCTGCCTGTCCTGCCACCTTCAAAGATTTACTTATATGAACACTCAGGTCTCTCTGTTCCTTCACCCCCTTTAAGATTGTACCATCAGCTTATATTGCCTCTCCTCATTCTTCCTCTCAAAATGCATCACTTCACATTTCTCCACATTAAACTTCATCTGCCACGTGTCTGCCCATGTTACCAGTCTGTCTATGTCCTCTTGCAGTCTGTGACTATCCTCCTCACTGTTTACTACATTTCCAGCTTAGTATCATCTGTAAACTTGGAAATTGTACTCCTTATATCCAAGTCCAGGTCATTTATATAGATCAAAAAGAGCAGTGGTCACAATACCGACCCCTCCACTACACACTTCCCTCCAGAAAAAAAACTGTTCACCACCATTCTCTGCTTTCTGTCTCCCAGTCAGTTCTGTATCCGCTGCCACTGTCCCTTTAATACCCTGGGCTTCTATTTTGCTTACAAGTCTCTCAGGTGACATGTTATCAAACATCTTTTGAAAATCCATATAACTACATTAACTGCACCACCTTCATCCACCCTCTCAGTTATTTCATGAAAACACTTTATCAGGTTTGTTAGACATGATGTGCCTTTCACAAATCCGTGTTGGCTGTCCTTTTTAACCCATATTTTTCTAAGTGAAAATATATTTTGTCCCGGATTATAGTCTCTAGAAGTTTCCCCACCACTGACGTTAGGCTGACTGGCCTGTAGTTCCTGGGTTTATCCTTCTGCCCCTTTTTGTACAGGGGAGTAACATTTGCAACCCTCCAGTCCTCTGGCATCACCCTGGTGTCCAAGGAGGATTGAAAGAATATGGTCAGAGCCTCCGTTATTTCCACCTTTACTTCCCTCAGTAACCTAGGAAGCATTCCATCCGGACCAGGTGACTTATCTACCTTGAGCACTATCAACCCTTTTAATACCTCCTCTTGGTCTATTCTTGTCTTATACAATTTCTCTACCCTCTCCTCCGATACTGTGGTATTGGCTGCATCAACAACAACAACAAGATTCCATTTATAGAGCGCCTTTCACGCCGGGAGGACGTCCCAAGGTGCTCTTCTTTTGTGAAGACAGATGCAAAGTACTCATTCAGTACGTCAGCCATGTCCTCTGCCTCCACAAAAAGATTTCCTCTTCGGTCCCTAATTGACCCCACCCTACCTTTGACTAAGCTTTTATTCTTTATATGTTTATAAAATGTGTTAGGTTTCCTTTATGTTACCTGCTAATCGTTTCTCATACAATCTCTTTGCCCCTCTTATTTTCTTTTTCAGTTCTTCTCTGTACTTTCTGTATTTTATTTGATTATCTTCTGTATTTTGAACCTGACATTTATCATAAGCCTCCTTTTTCTATTTTATTTTAATCCCAATTTCCTTAGTCATCCAGGGAAGTTTGGATGCTCTACCTTTCCCCTTTGTGGGAATGTATTTTTTCTGTCCCTGAACTATCTCCTCATTGAAGGCTTCCCGTTGCCCATTAGTTTTTTAACCTGTCTTTCTTTCAAGTCCACTTGGCTAGGTCCCTTTATAACTCACTGAAATTACCCTCTTCCAGTTGAGTATCTTAAACTTTGTTTGTTCCTTGTCCCTTTCCATAAGTACTGTAAACCTAATGATGTTGTGATCACTGTTGTCCAGATGCTCTCCCACCGAAACCTGCTCCACCTGCTCACTTCATTCCCCAGAACTAGATCAGCACTGCTTCCTTCCTCGTTGGGCTGGAACTATACTGATCCAGAAAGTTAACCTGTACACATTTCAGGAATCCTTCCCCCTCCTTGCCCTTTGCACTGTCAGTCTATGTTAGAATAGCTGAATTCCCCATCATCATTACTCTATTGGTTTTGCGTCTTTCTGAAATTTGCTGCAGATTTGCTCGTCTATCTCCTTCCCACTATTTGGTGGTCTATAGTTTACACCTAACAGAGTAACAGCTCCTTTTCTGCTCCTTCACTCTAACCAAAGAGATTCTGTTTTTGAACCCTCTAGCACATCGTCCCTTTCCAAGGCCGTAACCGTGTCTTTAATCAATATTTCCAGTCCCACTCCTTTTTTTTTCACTTACCTATCCCTCCTGAATACATTGTGGCCAGGAATATTCAGCTCCCATTCCTTCCCTTGTTTCAGCCAAATCTCCATTATTGCCACTATACCATATGGCAACTTGAGACTGCAGGTCCCAATCTTATTTTCTCACGTAGAGACGTCTCTAAGTTCTTCACAGAATGTACTGCAAAGTGAAATGATTGTGTATATTGTGGGCAAAACGCGGCAGCCAATTGTACACAGCAGTGTCTCATGAGCAGTCATGGATTGAATGACCAAATTTTTTCGTTCTTTTTCTTTTTGAAGGGATTATTACTCCCGGAAAAACGATCCACCAATCGACTAACAACTGGCTTCTTACTTACTGCTAGGTAAACAGAGGCGTGTGGAGTAAGGAAATGTGCCAATCGTTTCGCCCTGCCTGGGAATGGAACCTACGTCCTCTGGCTTTCGAGGCGAGAGCTCTATCCAGTGAGCTGCAGGACTCCACAGATGTGGCATTCGCCCCACAGCAACTGGCGGAAGCCTGGCCGAGACTTAGGGATGATCTTTCCTGAAGTGGACGCTTGAACCCACCACCTTCTGACCCAAAGGCTAGAATGTGCCATTGACCTGAGCTGTCCTTCAACCTCTCTGCTCCCACCCTCTGGAATTCCATCCCGCCCCCCTCCCTCGCCTCCTTCAAGACCAGTCTCAAGACCCTCCTCTTTGACCGCGCCTTCGGTCACCCTCCTACCCCGACTCTCCCCGCCCTCTACCCCTCCCGATCCCAACCACCACCTCGAATGCGGATCCCTGACTGACCAGCGCCTTTGGACATCCTCCTGACGTGAAACGCGCTGTTGACTTACCGAAGACGTTGAGTTCCATTAGCTCCTCCGTGATGCCAGCTTTGTTTGTTGCCCGACAACTATAGTCTCCTGTGTCGCCTCGTACAATGTTCCTGATGAACAACTCATTGCCTTCCCTCAGCACGGAGTACTTTTCACCTTCTTCAACCAGTTTCCCCTTTCTGCACAAGAACAACAACAATTTATAATAGTAACGACAATAATAATCCTTGCATTTGATATCGCGCCTGATCACGTCTTCGAAACGTCTCAAAGCGCTTCACAGGATACACTGTAAGGTGAATAGACTGTACGTTTTGTGGGCGAAACGCGGCAGCCAATCGCGCACAGCAGTCGTGGATGGAAGAGACCAATTATCAGTAATTTTTTTTAAGGAATTATTATTCCCACTGGAAAAGCGATCCGCCAATCGACAAACAGTCCAGGTTCCTACTTACTGCTAGGTAAATAAAAGGTGTGTGGAGTGAGAAAACTTGCCCAAAGTTTCGCCCTGTCGGGAATCGAACCAAGGTCTCTCGCTCGCGAGTGCTCTAACCACTGAGCTACGGGACTCTACTAAAGGCTTAGACCAGGTGAAATTTTGGGGCATCAGTTTCTTGGAGCAAAGGGAGATTTACCTCCTCCACCCTCCCACCCCTTCACCCCCTCCCCTGAGGAGAATTGACAGACGTGCAAATGTCGTTGACCCTGGATTTACCTGTGCCAGGTGATCGTGGGCTGGGGAGAACCGGTGGCTGTACACTTGAAGGTCACTGCCCCTTTCTGGCCGGCTGTTGCGTTTGCATATCGCTGCTGTGCGGAAATGGTCGGAGGAACTGTGACGAGGCGGGGAAAGGAAAGGGGGGCGAAGGGGGAGGAGACGAGAGCAGAGCGGAGGAGAGAAAAGGAGGCGGAGGGGAAAAAAGGATGGGGGGGTAGGGGGAGAAAAAAGGAATGAAAATTCTCCATGAGTACGCAGAAGTTCGGAGCAGATCATTATTGTACTCAAATAACAATTTCTAATATAATCCTCGCGTTTGATGTAGCGCCTTATCTTCGAGACGTCCTCAAAGCGCTGCACAGAATATACTGTAAAGTGTGACGACTGTGAATTTTGAGGGCGAAACGACTGGTCGGTCGGTAGGTCACACGTGGCTGTCGCTGAACGGGTCTGAGAGGCAGACAGAGACCATCATAAAACAGTCACTCCACTTTACGTTACGTATCCTGTGAATCGCTGTGAGATGTTCCTCCCGACGTGAAAGGCGAACGCAACGATGCTTATTGCAGACGGTGCACCGCGGAAACGGGCCCTGACTGTGCAGTGCCCCACGACCAAAGCAGCAGTTGCGCTCTGGAACGCACGGCCTGAAAGGGTTCGGTGGAAAGAGATTCAATCACAACTCTTAAAAGGGGATTGGAGAGGTACTTGAAGAGGAAAAATCTGCAAGGATAGGGGGGAAGGAGCGGGGGGGGAGGGAGTGTGGACTGATTGGGCAGCTCTTCCAAAGAGCTGGCAGAGGCCCGATAGGCCGAATGGCCTCCTTCTGTGCTGTAGTGTTTCAAAAAAAGAATTGCTGTAAAAATTCTACGACACTGTGATTCCCTTTGATCAGCGGACGCAAGCCGACACTCTCTGCTTAGCGAGCTCCTGAATGTCTTTGTGCCAGACAATGCGATCAGACAAGGGAGCAAGAGATAGGGAACATCGGTCATCTTTACTGCCTTCCTCCCCTTCATAGGCTACGGATCATCCAGAACTCCGCAGCCCGTGTCCTCTCCTGCGCCAGTCTCCGTGACCCTCTCACGCCCATCCTCGTCCGGCTCCACTGGCTTCCCAACACACAGGGGATACAGTTCAAGATCCTCCATGGCCTTGCTCCCCACCTACTTCTGTGACCTCCTAACTCCCTACCATCCTGCTCGCTCCCTCCGCTCAGCGGGATCTGGCCTGCTCCACGTCCCGCGCAGTGCCCACCCTGCAATTGGCAGGCGTACCTTCAACCTCTCTGCCTCCACCCTCAGAAACTCCCTCACAATCCTTCCGCCTCGCCCCCACCCTTGCCTCCTTCGAAACCCGTCTCAAGACCCTTCCTCTTCGACCGTGCTTTCGATCACCCTTCCCTCCACACCTTAAGTTGCTTCTTTTTAACCACACTTTTGGATACCTCTTCCTACCCCTACCACCCCAACCCCACCCCCCACTCTCCCCCACCGCACCCCCCACCCAGCTCTCTGCACCCCCAGCTTGGGCTCACAGCCGTGCGATGCCCTTTGCAACATCCCCATCCGCTCAACTGGCTCCGGCCTTCTGCATGTCCCTCGTGCCCTCTGTTCCACCATCGGAGGCTGTGCTTTCAGCCACTACGTCCCAAAGCTCTGTAACACTCTTCCCCTCTCCCTCTACCTTGCCCCTTCCTTCCCCTGGCTTCAGATCGTGTCTGAAGACCTTGCTCTTTGACCAGTGCCTATGGTCACCTTCCCGCCCTGTATTGTGCTCCAACACTGTCAAGCGCTCTGGGACACTACCCTACGTGAGCGAGGGGCGCTGTATAATAAATGCAAGTTGTTGTTGAAAGGTGCTGCGTAAAGGCAAATTATCGTTGTTGCCGACAGCACTCAGCACCGCCACCGAGCTCAATATGGCTCCCTCCGTTCCGCTGCTGGAAATTGGCAGTACGATTTTTCTGGCTTGCAAGTCTCTGGAGTCTGGATGGCGGGGGAGACGGGGGTCAGGGAAGGCGGAGGAGGTGTGCATTTTCTCAGTGATTTATAGAAGCGCTAGTGTGTTATCAAGCGCTGTGGGCCCCAGAAATGACCAACAAAGCCACTGAATATTTACTCTCTCAGTTTCCACGTTTAATGGGTTTAACTTTATAACTTAGGGAGCGGCGTTGTGTTGTGAAAGGCGCGATACACATGTCATTTGTTGTTGTTGTCAAGCTCCACTTCACACACGGCCTGATCGCTTTACTGAAGCTGCTGCAATGGGATTTTTTGTGCCTGACACTTGCGGAAACCCAACGCCGTTGCTTAAGAGTCTCCAAACCCAAGCTGAGAATTCCATGCCATCCCACCTACACATGGGAATCCCAGAGATAGGTTGTTGGAATGGAATGCACTCTCTTTCTCTCTCTCTCAGTCTCAGTCTCACTCTCTGGAGGGACGCATCCTGCTTACCTAATTCCGGAAAGTATTAGGCGCAGGTTGGCAAGAGCCAAGGCTTGGGGGGGGGAACCCCAGAGTGTGCGTTGGGGGTAACTGCTGGAGCGTAACCAGCTAAAACCACATAACTTTCCATTGACGTCGCTGTCTGGCCAAGCTTTCCCGCTGCTTGTCCAGCTAGGACCACCCTCCCCGTGAGTGCCTTGGAATACTGTGGACCCGCCTGGCTCAGGAACCGGACTAGAGACCGTCACAGAGGGCTGGCTCCATGTCATTGCCAGGCATGTCACCTCGGAGCCAGTTCAGCTCCTAGTAGACCCTACTTACCTCTTACTCCAAGGAGGGTAACCACTAGCAATGGATGTTCAGCACATGCCAGGCGAAAGGGAATAAGAAAACTCTTCCTGCCCATATCTTGCGCACAACTTCACGACCCGGAAGTCGATCATGCCAATGGCGACCCGATGACCTGGACGTCTGCCTTTTTCAGCAGCAAAAACATGGCCTCATATAGCGCCCTCCGCATAGGGTAGCAATTAACAGTGGCGGAGCCTGACTTCGAACCGGGAGCAGACAGTAAGCCTGGTTGAAAAGGAAGGTTTTCAGGTGGGACTTGAGAGCGAGGGTGCAAGGCGGGCGAGGAGGGAGGGAGGGAGGGATGGAGGGAGAGGGACAAACCGACCTCAAGAAAGTGTTCCACTGTATGCCTTTGAAATTTGTGTCTAAACATGGAATCAAAATGGAATTGGCCTCACCATTGACAATCAGAGTGATGTCCCGAAAGTCGATTTCTCCTCTGGCTTCCACTCTGCCTTCGCACCTGTACACACCTTCATTCTTCTTGCTGACATTGAGGATCCTCAGGTTCCCGTTCTCGAGCATTAAAAACTGCTCTGGAACCCAAAGAAAGAAACGTACAAGATACATCAGCGATCGAGAGAGAGAGCGAGAGAGAGAGAGAGAAAGCCCTATCCTGGCTGTCGCTCCAGCTCTGCATTGTCAGACGCGCCGTCCTTTCGGATGAGACGTTAAACCGAGCTCCATCTGTGCCTGATTCAGGTGCATGTTAAATATAATAATAATAATAAATCTTGTATTTGATACAGCTGTGGTGTCCTGTAGCTCAGTGGTTAGAGCTCTCGCCTCGCAAGCGAGAGGACCCGGGTTCGATTCCCGGGCAGGGGGCGAAACGTTGGGTAAGTTTCCTTACTCCACACACACACACACGCACACACACACCTCTGTTTACCCAGCAGTAAATAGGGACTCAGTTGTTAGTGGATTGGCAGATCGCTTTTCCAGGAATAATATTTCCTTCAAAAAATATAATAAATTGGTCACTTCAATCCACGTCTGTTTGTGGGGAACGCTGCTGTGAGCAATTGGCTGCCGTGTTTTGCCCACAAAATATTCAGTCAAATCACTTTACAGTATATTCTGTGAAGAGCTTTGAGACGTCTCGAAGACCCGTGATGAGGCGCCGTATCAAATGCAAGGATTATTATTATTACTGTCACCTCAATGAGACATCTCAAAGTGCTTCAACAGAATATGCTGTAAAATGAATTGACTGTATTTTGTGGGCCAAAGTATCCCGCGACACTATGGGAAAGGGAAGGAATAATAATAATAATAATCCTTCCATTTGATACAGCGCTTTTCACATCTTCTCGACGTCTCAAAGCGCTTCACGGAATAGACTGTAAAGTGAATTGACTGTATATTTGTGGGTGAAACGCGGCAGCCAATTGCGCACAGTGGCGTCCCCACAAACAGCCGTGGATTGAAAATGACCAATTTATTATTGTTTTTTTTTGAGAGATTATCATCAGGCTTTGTGTGTGTGGAGTAAGGAAACGTGCCCAAGGTTTCACCCTGCCGGGAATCGAACCCAGATCTCTCTACGAGATTGTCGTAGGGAAGATTGTCCCCAGCGTCGTGGCCGACAATTCCCACCCCCCCCCCACCCCACCCCAGGTAAAGCAGTCACTCTCTTCACAGCTGTTTGTGGGACGTTACTGTGTGATAATCAGCTGCGGCCTTTTCCTGCAAAGTACCCAATCGATCCCGTGAATCGCTTCGAGAATTCTTCCCGAAGCGAAAGGTTTCTGTATCGAAAGCGATATTCACCCCCCCCCCCCCCCACCCCCACCCCCCACTGCAGTGTGTGGAACCATGCCTTGTGCCTAAACAGCATCTGCGTTTGCCTAGAAATACGTGTGTGCAAAATCTCACCATGCTTTACGCAAATTACCTATGAAGCTCTCTTTATTTTGGCTACAGCAGCTCTGTCAAGCGCGAGGGTTATTATGTTAATAAACGGCTCCGTTCACATGAAAGAAATATCTTGAAGCACTTTAAGGAATGCGTTTGATTGGAAATGCAAGTGAATGTCGCTACGGAGGTAAACGAGAAGATTCGCGCACGTTCCTACTCCCCTCCGCTCTGCCATCGGTGGCTGTCCTTTCAACCCTTATGTCCCAAACTCTCACGCGATCTAACTCTAGCTCTCTATTTGCCTTGCTCTCTCTCTCTCTCTTTCCGTCTGTCTCTCTCACTCTCTGCCTCTGCTACACAAAAAAAAATCGGTTGCTCAATCCACGACTGTTTGTGGGGCACTGGTTGTGGGGCACTGGCTGCCGCCTTTTGCGCGCAAAATAGACAGACAACGCACTGCACGAAAGATTTTGTAAAGTCGCGTGATAAGGCGCTATATCAAATGGAAGGATTATTATTATTATTATTATTAAACTCTCTGGCGCAATCCCGCCACCTTGCCTTCCTGCTTCTTGCTCAGCTGCAGGTGGCAGTTTTTTTATTAAATGATTTATTTATTTATTTGTTTAGCTGGAATTATTCCTGCCAAGAAAAGCGATCTGCCGATCGACCAACAACCGTTTTCCTACGTTACCGCTTGGTAAACAGAGGCGTGTGCGTGCGTGTGCGTGCGTGTGGAGTAAAGAAACTTGCCTGAGGTTTCGCCTTGCCCGGGAATCGAACCCAGATCCTCTCGCTTGCGAGGCGAGCGCTCTGACCATTGAGCTGCAGAACCCTGCCAGTTCTTTCACTCCGTCTCCCCTGCGAGGTAATTAGAGGCACTGCGATAAGAGGGAGTGTGTTTGCAGCAGATGTGTGACTGCATGACCTGGCACACCACATATTCCATTTCTGTACAACTCCCGGCTATTGTTATGTCTATCCTGGCTCAGTGTCTGACATTCCCTGTCAATCCTCCCCGACAAGCACAAGGGTAGGATGACTTGAAACAGTCGTCCTCGGGCAACAGACTGCATCCGCAAGCCAGGCTGATCTCACGCGTGTTGCATTCCCCTCCCCGCCTCATGTCTAAGAATGCGTGTTGCGTGTTGAGGGGTGAGCTAATTGAGGTGTTTAAAAATCATAAGAGAGATTCGGTACAACAGCAACTTACACTTACAGAGCGTCTCAGAGCGTCTCAGGATAGCTATAAGGTAGCTACAGAAGTCCGCCTTTGCCCGGTACATTTTGCCCACAAAATATACACTCAATTCACTTTACGGTATATCCTGTGAAGCGCTTTGAGACGTCTCGAAGACGCGATAAAGCACTAAATGCAAGGATTATTATGATTATCTCTCGATATCCTGACCTAACAAATATCTATCCATCTCAGTCTTGAAGATGGGAATGGATCCCGCATCCAAAACATTTTGGGGGGAGAGCGTTCCAGATTTCCACTACTTTTTGCGTGAAAAAATCCTTTCACTCCTAAATGGCCTAGCTTTAATTTTAAGATGATGCCCCCCCACCCCACCCACGACCCCCTCGTTCTGGATTCCCCCCCACCAGAGAAAATAGTTTCTCTGTAGCTACCCTCAATTGGATTGACTGGGTATTCTGTGGGCGAAACACAAATTAATTTAATTTGAATACAAAATCAAACCACATCATGTGGGGTCCCGTAGCTCAGTGGTTAGAGCGCTCGTCTCGCAAGTGAGAGGACCTGGGTTCGATTCCTGGGCCGGGCGAAACATTGGGCAAGTTTCCTTACTCCGTACGCCTGTTTTCCCAGCAGTACGTTAGGAACCTGGTTGTTAAGTCAATTGGCGGATCGCTTTTCCGGGGGTAATCATCCCTTCAAAATTAATAGAAATGGTCACTTAATCCACCACTGTTTGTGGGACACTGCTGTGCGCAATTACGCAATTGGATGCTGCGTTTCACCCTCAAAACATACAGTCAATTCACTTTACAGTAAATCCTGTGAAGCACTTTGAGACGTCTTGAAGACGCGATGAGGCGCTGTATCAAAATGCAAGGATTATTTATTATTATCACCGAATAAAACCCCCATATTATTTTAAACATCTCAATCAGATCAGCCCTTAACCTTCTAAACTCAAGGTAATAATAATAATCCTTGCATTTGATACAGCGCCTTATCACATCTTTGAGACGTCTCAAAGCGCTTCACAGAATATACTGTAAAGTGAATTGACTGTGTGTTTTGTGGGCGAAACGCGATTTAGTTTAATTTAAACGCAGAATTAAAACAGCAGCATCAGCCCCCGACATCTCAAAGGCTCTGCGTCCGGATGTGAGCGCTGGAGGTCAAGCGGTGAGGTCCCGGCTGGCAACACTCACCGTACTGCGGGCCGGTGATATCCTGGTTATTGTTCAGCCAGGTCACCACAGGAGCCGGAGAGCTGCTCACTTGGCACACCACCTCCGCAACGTCCCCTTCTCTGAACTCCTGGGGAGACTGGACGTTCTTGAACGTCAGCTTCTCTGTGGACAGACGGAACGCTGAATAAATAAACCAATAAATAATCTTGGCTTTCAACATTTTTGTTTAGGGTGGAGGAGGGTGTTTAACCGGGTGACTCTGACAACTGACACGTGCGGAAAACCATCACCGTTGCTTAAGAGTCTCCAAACCAAACTGAGAACTTCTTGCATCCCACCTCCACGTGGGAATCCCGGAGATAGGTTGTTGTAATGGAATGCGCTTTCTCTCTGCAAGGCAAAGCCCTAACTAACGGGTAAGATGGTCCTAGCTGGACAAGCAGCGGGAAAGCTGGCCAGACGGCGATATCAATGGCAAGCTGTGCGGTTTTAGTTGCTTAGACTCCAGCAGTTACCCCCAACCCCCAAACACCCCCGCCTCCGCCCAAGCTGTGGCTCTTGCCAACCTGTGCGTAATCCATTCCAGAATTAGGTAAGGAAGTTCGTGAGCACGGTCGAAAGGGAAGGTTTTCAGGCAGGACTTGAAAAAGGGGAGAGAGGGGGCAAGGCGGAGGGACTGAGGGAGAGTGTTCCAGATTTTGGGGGGTAATGGCAGAATGAGCGACCTCTGACGTTGGGGCGGAGGGTGTAAGGGACGAGCAGAAGGCCGGTGTCGGTCGAGCGGTGGTGCCGGGTGGTGGATTGGGGAGTGAGGAGGTCGGAGAGGTGAGGGGGGGCTGCCAGGGAGTGAAGGGATTTGAAAACGTTCCTGTCGAGGGATTCGACAAACCCGGTTAACCCTCCACGGTGATGGGTTTCCCTGGTTGAGCTCAGTCGGATCCAACGAGATAGGTGTCTGTCTCCTGATCCCACGCCCTCCTCTCCTGCCCGGGCACTTACTGTAGATTTCCACCAAAATAGTGGCCTCCTGCGATGCTCCTTTGCCATCGGTGACTTGACACGTGTAGATCCCTGCGTCCTCCACGTTGGCGTTGTAGATTGTCAGCCTCGATCTCACCGTCTCCACCTGGACCACGACCCTCTCGCTGGACAAAATCTTCTCCCCATCGGGGCTGAACCATTCTATACTGACGGGTTCCCCGATGGCTGGGAGGGGTGGGAGAAGAGTTGACCGAAATATCTGATTAATGTTGAGGCACGCAACGATACAATAAAACAATTACATTTGTATAACTCCTTTCATGTCGGGAGGACGTCCCAAAGCGCTTCACAGAATAGACTGTAAAGTGGATTGATTGACTGTATATTTTGTGGGCAATTGTACATTAAACCTTGATCAGGATTCATCAATCTACCCATCCAATCCAATCCACTCACTCACCCATCCACAAAGAAAGAAAGAAAGAAAGAAAGAAAAGAAGCAACTCTCACGTCAGGAGGAGGTCTTCAAGGGTTTCGCGGGATTTACTGTAAAGTTATAATAATAATCCTTCCATGTGATGTAGTGCCTCATCACGTCGCCGAGACGTCGCAAAGAGCTTCACAGAATATACTGCAAAGTGCAGTGACTGTGTGTTTCGTGGGTGAATGCAGCAGCCAATTTGCGCCCAGCCAATGTTCCACAAACAGCCGTGAAGTGATGACCAATTTTATTTTTTGGAGTCGGGGGGTGGGGGGAGTTGGCCAACAACTAAAGAGAAACTCCCTTCTATTTGCGAAGGGAGCCATGGGATTTTTCATGTCCGCCACACAGGCAGACGGGACCTCAGTTTAACGTCTCATCGTAAGGACGGCTCCTCCGACGATGCAACAGCCCCCCACCCAGCGCTGCGTTGGAGAATCCTCATAGACCATGTGATTCTACGTCTCGACGTGGGCGGTTTGAACCCACAATCTTCTGGATTGAGAGTGTGGATGAGGAGGAGGTTGAATTTGATGGAGGGTGACCGAAGGCACAATCGAAGAGGAGGGTCTTGAGACAGGGGTCTTGAAGGAGGCAAGGGATGGGGGGGGGGGGGCGAGGCGGAGGGACTGCGGGATGTGATAAACAGATCTCATAAAAGGAATCGTGCAATGATCGAGTTGCAAACTGTGTTGAATGTGTCGGTGCATTACTGGACAGTGTTGTAGTTCAAGAATAACGCATTTCTTATAATAAAATCCTTGCATTTGATACAGCGCTTATCACGTCTTCGAGACGTCTCAAAGCGCTTCGCAGAATACACTGTAAAGTGAATTAACTGTATATTTTGTGGGCAAAACATGGCAGCCAATCGCGCACAGCGGCGTCCCACAAACAGTCGGGGACTAAATTATGGTTGTTATTATGTTGTGGTTGAAGGGATTATTACCCTCCGGAAAAGCGATCCTCCAACCGACTCACAACCGGGTTCCTACTTATGGTTCGTAAACAGAGGCGTGTGCGCGGAGTGAGGAAACTTGCCTAAGGTTTCGCCCTGACCCGGGAATCGAACCCGGTCTCCTCTCGCTTGCGAGGCGAGCGCTTAATGAAGAAGTCTCGCCGAATCAGACCCCGGTAGCGAGAACAGAAGCGATGGCACAACTGAACCAAGCGTTGCAGGCTGAAAGCTAATGTGCAAACCTAATTGCTCTGACTGACGGGCTCACCGAGTTTCCATCATGGATAGTTCTGCAGGAGTATTTTGCTACTAATTGAGAGAATTAAGAACAAACGAAATCAGCCCAGGCGTGCTCTGAGCATATTAACCTGCCAGACACTTACTCAGTTTGACGAGCTCACACTGCCGTTACGTTCTGAGGTCTTCCCTCCTTCCTGCCGTACATTTAGAACGTCGCACCCCCCCCCCCCACTCCCACCTCAACACTGCACCAGATCCCAGATCGTAAAGCAGTTGTTGGACAGTGTACAAGGTCCTGTCACCAACCCCCCCCTCCCCCCCCACCACCACCCCCTCCGCTCCCCTCCCACGCGTTTCCTTACAAGTGAGGCGTTTGCCTCGCAAGCGAGAGGACCTGGCTGGGTTCGATTCTCAAGCAGGGCGAAGCTTTGGGTAAGTTTCCTCACTCCATACGCCTCTGTTTACCGAGCAGTAGGAAGCAGGAACGTGGCCGTTAGTCGAATGGAGGATCGTTTCCCCGAGGTAATAATCCCTCAAAAAAAACCCACATGCACTCACACCCATCATCTGGACGTCGAAACACAGTTAAACACTTGTACTGAATACAACAAAGTACTTCTAAATACAACCAGCATCATTTTTCCACGTGTTTCAGTTGTCGGTCAGTACACCGTAGAGGAAAAAAATGGGGGTAACAAAACCGGGACTGTGGACGGACAGCGTAGAGGGAGCTTTACTCTCTCTCCAACCCAGCTGGCCCGGAGAAGGAAATCATTCTGTCTCTGAACGGTGTCTGGCATGAGATGTAAAAGTAGAGAAAAATTGCTCTGTTGCTCAGGGCTGACAAAGGACCAAAAAAATCTTTTTTGTAAAAAAAAAGGTTTCTGTCCGAGTCGTCAATCATGTGATGGAGTGCTCAGAGCTTGAAGGCATCGGTCATTCCAAGGACAGACAAAATCTGTTGTGAATTCTTTGTGAGCGAAGCGTCCTGTTTGTCTCCAACTCTGCTTTACACCTCCGGTCCTCATTTCCTCCATCCTACCATCGGTGGCCATGACTTCAATGCTCACTGAAACGCTCTCCGCCCCACCCCAGCAATCTCCTTGCCTTAATCCCTCTCTCCCAGCCTTCAAAACCCTCATAAAATGCAAATTGTTGTTCAAAAAAAAATCTCCCTTTGATCAACGCCCTTCGTATTGGTTCCTTCACGCTGGTTAGCCCTCCGGGACGTTACCACGATTGGTGGATCGCTTTTCTGGGGCGTAATAATTCCTTAAAAAAATAATAATTTGGTCACTCAATCCACGACCGTTGGCGGGGATGCCGCTGTGCGCAATTGGCTGCTGGGTTTCGCCCACAAATATACGGTTGGTTCACTTGACTGTATATTGCGTGAAGTTCTTTGAGACGTCTCGAAGACGTGTTAAGGCGCTGTAGCAAATGCCAGGGTTATTATTATTGTTCCCTCGTCGTTGCCTAGCCCCTCTGCGCAGCTCTTCGAGTGGTTTCATTTGACCACTTGTTCACATGAAACTGCAAGTTGTTGTTGTAGTTGCAGTGTTGCCTGCCTGCACCGCATAAAACTCACCACCAGGAGGCACTGATTACTGAATGGTTTCATTCGGTTGGTGGCCACAGAAGTCCAGAGAAGGTCTTGGAACACTTAGAGACTGAGAAGCATTTACCTATCCCATTGCAACGCTGGTTTGCTTATAATTTCTGGTACCCTAAGGCCTCACGTTTAGTTTGGGGGCAAAGACCCACACCAGCTGCTTCCTGTGCGCTTCCAGGTCACCGGATCGGCGCTGACCCCAGTTTCTGCAATCTGCGCAGGAGGTGATGTTGCCAGCGATCTGATGACTGGCCAGTCACTTTTTAAGGTCACAGGAAGTCAGCCAGTCGACAACGACAACTTGTTCGCCCCCAAAACATAAGAGTCATTGCATTTTACAGTGTGTCCTGTGAAACGCTTTGAGACGTCTCGAAGACCTGATAAGGCGCTGTATCAAATGCGAGGGCTATTATTCGTCATTAATACGATTAGTACTACTGTGCTGGAGAGTCAACCCAAGTTGTGGGTTGAGGGTTTGCCCCTGACGTGAAGCTTGAACTGGTAATTTTCACCGCAACGCCATCTATTCAGAAGTTTGCTCCTCGGCCCAGCGAGGCTCGGTCACACACTGTCCGCCCACTCCTCTGATCTGGCGCTTGACAAATGTCACATTTCATGGGCCGGGTGATTCACGAGACAAAGCCTATTAAAGTGTCAGAGAAATGAACGACTCCTATCTCAGCGCTCAGCCATTTAGCCTTGTGATAGAACTTGCGCTCAATGAATCAATTCATCCTTTTCTTTTTGGTGTTGGTGGGGTGACGTGGGGGGGGGGGGGGGGGGGAAGGCGGGGGCGGTCAAAGCCGAGGGCAGGAGACAACCGAGTGTGAGAGAGAGGAGGCTATGCCTCGCTCCGAGCCCGCTCACTTCCCTGTAATGCTGGCTCGGCCGGTAGCACTCTTACCCGCGGGTCAGGTGGTGACAGGTTCGATACCCCACGTCAGCACTCCGAGCTCACACAGGAACAGGAGTAGGCCATTCAGCCACTCGAGCCTGTTCTGCCATTCTATTAGATCATGCCTGAAGTGAATTGACTGTATATTTTTGTGGGCAAAACGCGGCAGCCAAACTGCGCACAGCGGCGTCCCACACAGAGTCGTGGATTGATTGAACTGGATCGTCATAATTCCCAACCAACACCTCGGTTCTTGTCGCGTAAGACTGCCGGGATGGTAGAAGGTGAACCAGACGGACCTTGGGTCTGTTTACGGCTAGCAATCCCTAAGTTCCCCATACTTTGAAGATCCCTGAAGCTCAAGGGACCTTTGAGTGTGTTGAAGCGTGTTTGACAGGTGTCTTGCAATGTCACTGAAGGCATAAGTAACGCAGACTGACATATAATAAGGAGAACCTCACACACTGACCCTGACTGATTTCCGAGTCTTATATATAGCTAGATATAAAAATACTGTCAAAGTAGACTCTGCGGAAATTGCAATTTGCGCTCGCTCTCATTTTTCTCGCCGGTCGTTTTCAATGGGACTAATTGCTCTCTTCTCTGCTGGAACAATATTGCGTGATGAAGAAACAGGTTTGCAAATTGGAAGCTAATTCGGGGCTGGTTTGCTGTAAAATTACATCGCTTTGTCACTGTCAGACACTCGCTCTCACATCCGCAGGGCTGCTCACACACACCATACGTGCATACACAAACATACACTACACAAGCACACCCACACACAACACCCACACTGCATCAACCACACCCACACCCACACCACACACGAACAACACACTCACACAAACACCGAACACCCAAACCAACACCCAACACCCACCCAACACCCAACACCCAACACACACACATCAACCACACACACACCTCAACCACACACACACCAACCACACACACACACACCAACCATACACACCCACGCCACCCACACAACACCCACGTGCCCAACACCCACAACACACACACACACACCTGCAGTCCAATTGCGCACAGCAGTGTCCCACAAACAATCGTGGATTGAATGACCAAATTATTATTATTTTTATGTGTTTCTTTTGGGGTGGGGGGGTTGGGGGCACAAAGAGATGGATAGCTACCCCGAGAAACCCATCATCTAATCGTACTAGATTCTGACTCGCTGCTGGGTAAACAGAGCCGCCCCCGGGAATCAACTTCTGACTGATATCAACAAACTCGGTGACTCCTTGGGAAAGGCACCGAGTGCAATTTGTTGCGATAACGATAATAATCCGTGTGTTTGGTGCAGCATCAGAAAGTGGTTCTCAACAACAAAAACAGCTCGCATTTACACAGCACCCCCTCACTCACATGGGGTAAAGTCCCAGAGCCCTTGACAGTGGCAGAGCACAACCCCAAGCTGGGTGGGGAATAGTGGGGGAGGTGACCGTAGGCACGGTCGAAGAGGAAGGTCTTCAGGCGTGACCTGAAGATGGGGGAAGCAGGAAGGGTACAAGGTGGAAGGATAGAGGGAGAGTGTTCCAGAGTTTCGGGGAGCAGTGGCTGAAGGCGCGGCCGCCAATGGTGGAACGGAGGGCACGAGGGACTTGCGGGAGGCTGGAGCTGGTCGAGCGGAGGCAGCGGGTTGAGGTAGGGAGGTGCCAGGGATTCGAAGACGAGTGAGAAGATCTTCAAATCGATCCGCTCAGCGAAAGGGAGCCAGTGGATCCTGGCGAGGACTGGTGTTTCCCGGGGGATTGCTGTTAAATTCAGTGACTGCGTATTTCCGCAGTGTGGTTGGCCAACAGAATAAAAGTTCTTGATTGAGTATTTCTCGAGTTATAATACTAATGATCCTTGCGTTTGAGACAGCGCCTGATCACACCGTCGAGACGCCTCAAAGCGCATCACAGGATTCACTGTAAAAGTGGAAGGCTGTGTATTTTGTGGGGGAAATACACACATATGTGAATACATCAATCGGTCAATCCATCAATCAATCAATCAATCAATCAATCAATCGAGAAAGAAAGAAATTTGATTAGTGCCGCAAATCAAGAAATATTCAATCAAGAAAAAAATGGACTGACTCGTACGAATGCTTGGGGGCGGGAGGGGCTGTTTGATGGTCTGCAGGTCACAGGTTGCCCACCACTCGTGTATTTGCAGGTAAATGCCCAGTGCTACGCTTGCACATTGTGGAGTCCTGTAGCTCAGTGGTTAGAGCACTCGCCTCGCAAGCGAGAGGACCCGGGTTCGATTCCTCCCCCCCCCCCCCCCGGGGCAGGGCGGGACGTTGGGCGAGTTTCCTTACTCCACACACACGCCTCTGTTTACCAGCAGTAAATAGGAACCCGGCTGTTAGTCGATTGGCGGATCGCTTTTCCGGGGTAATAATAATCCCTTTGAAAATAAAGTAATAAGATTAATGGGATCACTCAACCCACGACTGTTTGTGGGACGCTGCTGTGTGCAATTGGCTGCCGCGTTTCGCCCACAAAATATACAGTCAATTCCCCTTTGCACTATCTTCTGCAAAGCGCTTTGAGACGTCTCGAAGACGTGATAAGGCGCTGTATCAAATGCGAGGATTATTATTATTATTCAGCCATTGCAAGTAGACGGGAGTGAGGTGGGCGGTGGGGAATGATGGTGAGCGGGTGATCCTATTTTGTACCATTCACAAATCGGTCAGTCTCACACACAAACACAACCACATACACACTGGTTCCTGACTAAATGAGTCCTTGTTTTCTTTCCCTCAATTTGTTTACTGCCGGGCATCAGAGTAATTATCTTTCACCAGCTAATCGCCATCCCATTAAAAATCAGAGTTTGTTCTCGGTCGCCGTGAGGAATGCGAGGCACAAGTTAATATTCGTAATGCGAAAGCACAAACAGAGAGGGCTCAGTGGGGAACTGCACTTTGAAGCGACTCATTAAAATCTCAAATAGCGGGCAGATGAGCAGGAGCGAGCAACAACTGATATAAATAAAGATCAGATAGGCGAAAAGGCACAGCTGAGCCTGACTGCTGGACTGTGCGTAGATAGAGAAAAGAGAGTGACAGAGAGAAAGAGAGACAGACAGACAGAGAGAGACAGACAGACAGACAGACAGAGACACAGAGACAGACACAGAGGGAAAGAAGAAATTGCACAAAGAGGAAAATATACTAACATCATAATAATCCTTGCATTTGATATAGCATCTTATCATGTCTTCGAGACGTCTCAAAGCGCTTTACCAGGACATACTGTAAAGTATATTTTGAGGGCGAAACGCAGCAGCCAACTGCGCACATCAGCGTCCCTCCCACAAACAGTCGTGGAGCAAGTGACCAAATTTTTTTTTTTTTGTTGATCACCTGCCCCCTGGATCGGCATCGGGCTCCGCCACTGTTAACCGTCCGGCATGAAGGTCGCCACATAAATGCAAGTTGTTGTTGTTGTTGTTTATTACAGCACAGAAGGAGGCCATTGGGCCCTTTGTGGCACTGCTGGGTTTCTGTAAGAGCCATCTTTCAAACCCCTGCCCTTTCTTGCCTCACACACGCACACCTTTTATATGCTTGCCACCCAAACATTGGTCTAATTTCCTTTGAAAATCTTTTGGGACGTCACCCTGCCTCAGTGGGTTGTGCTCTCGCCTCTGAGTCAAAAGGTTGTGGGTTCATACCCCACGTTCGGACAGGAACTCAAAAGCTGACTCTCCATCGCAGTGCTGGGAACGCACTACATTGTCGGAGGTGCCGTCCTTTGGACGAGACGTTAAACCAAGGTTGGCTGTTCAGATAGATGTTAAAGACCCCTTGGCATCATTCAAAAGGAGAAAGGGAGGTTTCTCCCGGGGTCTCTGCCAGCATTTCCCCCAGATAAAATTGGTCACTCAATCCACGGCTGTTTGTGGGGACGTCGCTGTGCGCAATTGGCTGCCGCGTTTTGCCCGCTTCTGTGAAGCGCTTTGAGACGTCTCGAAGGTGTGTTAAGGTGCTGTGCGAGGATTATTATTACTATTATTATCCCTTTGTGGCACATTGCTGAGGGCAAATTAAGCCCTCGCGTCTGCCTACAAATGGCGCAGTCACTGTGCTTTACGGTAAATCCCGCAAAGTGCTTCTAAACCTGTTCCCCGGCGCGAACGGCGCGAGACCAACGTACATCTGCATTGAAACGTGTCGTGGAAACGCAAGAGCTCTGCGAAAGAAGGCCGAGGTCCATCTCGTTGAGCCTTCCACCATCCTGGTGGTCGATCTGACGTGGCCTGTCCCAAACTATACACTGTATCCATCCCCAGATATTATTTTCTAGCAGAAACCTCTGTGAAATAAGTCGGGAATTGCGGACGCCTGAGCGAGTGCGTTCGAAACCTACCTGTACAAGTGAAGAATTTGGATTCGCCGACACTCAGCTCCACTTTGCCCAGAGAAATGGTCACTTGCAGCACGGCTGTGAGGGTGAGAGAGCGAAGAGAGAGAGAGAGAGAGAGAGAGAGGAAAAAAAAGGACAAAAGAGTTTGAGTATCTCAAAGCTTAATGGAATCCTGATTGAATGTTCGCATTCTCTCCTATTGATCCCACCAAATTAGATTCATACGGACAGAAACCGAAAGTCAATATTCTGACTTAAACGCTCACTGGAGAAGCTGAGATATGAAGAACGAGCTTGTCTTTTCCTCTCCAGACAGCCTCCCCCACCAACCCCACCACCAACCAATCCTTGGAGATCTCGCTCTTGCTCTGCGATAGATAGAGCTGCTGAGGTGGCCAGAGTCCAGGTGATTACACGTGTGTAGTGCGGTTACCAGACTGAATGCTTGAATAATAGAACAATCAAACGGTGACGATCACAAAGTGATTCCGCACGGCTGCTTCGGACCCAGGTAGGATCGAAATGCAGTCAATTTAGCCCACGTCTGTGCTGGGGCTCTCCCCCCACTGGAGCTCTCTACTCTAACCCCATTCCCTGCTCCCTCTCTCTTCCCCCATGGTGTCTGTCCTGGTGCTCGCTCCCCCACTGGAGCTCTCTACTCTAACCCCATTCCCTGCTCTCTCTCTCTCTCTCCCCATAGTGTCTGTGCTGGGGCTCGCTCCCCCCACTGGATCTCTCTACTCTAACCCCATTCCCCTGCTCTCTCTCTCTCCCCATGGTGTCTGTCCTGGTGCTCACTCCCCCACTGGAGCTCTCTACTCTAACCCCATTCCTCTGCTCTTTTCCAATTAGGTTTAATGTGGGCGACTTCACGCCACTGATGTCAATTCTCTGCTCTTTTGTCCGTACCTTTTAATGTTATTTTTCTTCCAAGTACTTATCCAATTCCTTTTCGAAGCCTGCTTATGGGCTCAGGTTCTGCGGTCATTTGTACAAGTTTAAGTGCCAAGTTTCACTGAGATATCCTCTCCAAGTCACACAACGAACGGACTTGGATACACATCACTGTTTCATCATCGTCATGGGTTTAAAAAAAAAGTGAGGTAGCATCCCAGATCGCTTGACACCAAGCTGACACCAAGCACGACACCAAGCCGGAGGGTGGGTGACCGTAGGCACGGTCGAATAGGAAGGTCTTCAGACGCGACCTGAAGATGGGGAAGGATCTGTTCGGTGATAGGGAGCCAGTGGAACCTGGGGGTAACTGGTGTGATGGGGGTACGGACTTTAGTCCGGTTGAGTATGCGGGCGGTGGAGTTTTGGATTAAATAGATTTTCATAGAATCATAGAGAACAGAAGGAGGCCATTCGGCCCATCGTGTCTGCGCGGCTCTTTGAAAAGAGCTACCCAAATCAATCCCTCTCCCCCACGCTCTCCCCATAGCCCTGCAAACTTGTCCTCCCCATATATAATTATCTACTCTCTTAAAAGATGTTATCAAATCGGCTTCCACCACCCTTTCAGGCAATGCATTCCAGATCCAAACAACTCGCTATCTAAAAAAAAACCCTCTCCAATGCCTTCATCCTTCCTGAAGTGTGGTGCCCAGAACTGAACACAGTCTCTAGCTGAGGCCTAAACAGTGTTTTATATAAAGGTTCATCATAACCTCCTACTTTTGTATTCTCTTCCCCTACTTATAAAGCTTAGTATCCCATAGGCTTTTTTTTGACAGCTTTATCTGCCTGTCCTGCCAGCTTCAAAGATTTACTTATATGAACCCCAGGTCTCTCTGCTCCTTCACCCCCTTTAAGATTGTACCATCAGCTTATATTGCCTCTCCTTACTCTTCCTCTCAAAATGCATCACTTAGCATTTCTCCACATTAAACTTTATCTGCCACGTGTCTGCCCGTGTTACCAGTCCGTCTATGGCCATTTGCAGTCTGTGACTATCCTCCTCACGGTTTACTACATTTCCAGCTTAGTATCATCTGCAAACTTGGAAATTATACTCCCTATAGCTAAGTCCAGGTCATTCATATCGATCAAAAATAGCAGTGGTCCTAATACTGACCCCTGAGGGACACCACTACACACTTCCCTCCAGTCAGAAAAACAACCGTTCACCACCACTCTCTGCTTTCTGTCTCTCCCACTGAAACCTGCTCCACTTGCCCCCATTTCATTCCCCAGCACTGCTTCCTTCCTCGTTGGGCTGGAAACATAATGATCCAGAAATTATCCTGCGCCCATTTCAGGAATCCTTCCCCCTCCTTGTCCTTTACACTCTTATTTTGTCAGTCTATGTTTCATGACTGAAGTCCCCCATTATCACTACTCTACATCTTTTCGAAATCTGCTGCAGATTTGCTCGTCTATCTCCTTCCCACTATTTGATGGTCTATAGTTTACACCTAACAGAGTAACAGCTCCATTTCTGCTCCTTAACTCTAACCAAAGAGATTCTGTTTTCGGACCCTCCTGGAAAGGACCTTTCCAGGGCTGTAACCGTGTCTCTAATCAATATTGCCACCCTCCCGGCTCCTTTTTTCCTGACCCTATCCCTCCCGAATACATTGTAGCCGGGAATATTCAGCTCCCATTCCTGCCAGGTCTCCATTATTGCCACGAGATAACCCCACATGTCAACTTGAGCCGCAGCTCACCAATATTATTTGTCACACTTACGCACGTGCACTCCAAGACCGACTTAGTCTGCATTTCTCCTCTTTCTAATCCCTCCTCTTTCTGGATTACTCCTTATTACGTTGCCATTTCGTCTCTCCCAGCCCTCTATGTAACTTGTTTCTCCTCCCTGATGCTATATCCTGATTTCCTTCCCCACCCAAAGTTAGTTTAAACCTTTCCTCACAGCACAGTTAACCTCCCTTGTAAGGACGTTTATCCCAGCCCTGTTTCAGGTGTAACCCATCCACCTTGTACAGGTCCCAACTGCCCCAGAACTGGTTCCAAATAACTGAACCGAACCTGAAGCCCTCCTTTCTGCACCATTTCTCCAGCAATGCGTTCATGTGTTTGATTCCACTGTTTTGATACTCACTTACACGAGGCACTGGGAGTAATCCAGAGATCACCACCTTTAAGGTCCTACTCTTTAGTTTTTTCCCTAGCTTCTGCACTCTCCCTGTAGGATCTCAGCCCTTCTTTTCCCTTCATCATGAATCCCAACAATGGATCACGACTTCTGGATGTTCCCCTTCCCCCTGATGTTTTGCACCTGTTCCATGATGTCTTCAACCCTGGCACCAGAGAGGCAACATACCATGCAAGAGTCAAGTTTTTGGTTGCAGAAACCTCTGTCTACTCCTTTCACCATTTGTGTCCCCAATGACAATTGCAAAGACACCCTTCTCTGTCCCTCCTGTGCATCCATTTGCTTTTGACTCCTCTCCCAGAGGAGTCATCATCCTGACCAGTATTCATTGCAGAGAACCAATTTGTGAGTGCCACACTCTGAGGGAATTTCTATGCTGCCCAACCCCTCTTCCTACCATGCCGGGTCACCCACTCACTCTCTTTCTGAACTCTCTGTGGCTGTGGGGTGATCACCTCCTGAAACGTTCCATCCGTGAACTCTTCAGCCTCCCGTAAGCTATGCAGTGACACCAGCCTCTCCTCGAGCTCAGGAACCCTGAGCAGAGTGTTTCTCCTCACTCTGTTCCCTCCTCCAACTGCTGGGCTTGTGGCCCAAGTGAGGCTCTCGCAAGTCTTCTTTATATAGGATTCGAACAAAAGCTCCCAGTTTTGACTGGTCACCAAATTTATTATTCCCCAAGCACCTAGCCTATGATTAACTGCTAATTGACTTTTTTTGCCTGCTTACCTATAAGCTTGCCTTCACCTCAAGAAAGATTTCCCACTCGTCTTGTGAATGAAAGAATTCTCTCTTGATCTCTGGTATCTCTCTTGCTGAAGAATTCCCACTCTCAACAAATTCCTTAACAGAATTCTCACTCCGTTCCACCTCGCTCAGTTCCCTGCTCATACTGCTGGTTCTCTTTGCTCATTTTGTGGTCACTCAATCCACGACTGTTTGTGGGACACTCTGTGCGCAATTGGCTGCTGCGTTTCACCCACTAAATACACAGTCACTCCACTTTACAGTATATTCTGTGAAGCGCTTTGAGACGTCTCAAAGTCATGATAAGGTGGTATATGAAATACAAGGATTATTATTATTATTACATTCGCTACTGGGGGATGGCTCATGTACTATCCTGGCTACGGCCTGTTCCACGTCCCTCGCCCGGCCCATCCAACCATTGGCGGTCGAGCCTTTAGTCTCTCTGCCCCCACACTTTGGAACTCCATCCCATAGTCTCTCCACCTCATTCCCTCCCTTGCCTCCTTCAAGGCACGTCTCAAGACCCTCCTCATCGACTGTGCCTTCGGCCACCCTCCTACCCTCCTTGCCCTCCACCCTCCCTGATCCCAACATTAGCCCAGGCCCCCGCCCAGCTCAGGTCCGAATCCCTGACTGTCCAGCGCCTTGGGACATCCTCCCGACGTGAAAGGCGCTATGCAAATGTAATTTGGTATTGCAATGTATTTGCCTCTTTCTTCTTAGAATAATAATCCTCACATTTGGTATTATAGTACCTTTCACGATGTCTCAAAACCCATCACAGGAATTATTTACCATAAACTTTTTATTTTGTCGGCAAACACGGCAGATAATTTGCACACGGCATTGACCCACGAATAGCAATGAAGCAAACAATTTTATCCGGGTGGGGATTGCTGACCAGAACACCGGGAGAAACCCCCTTCTCTTTTCAAATAGTGGAACGGGATCTCTGAAGTCTACTTGAACAGACAGAAGGGACCTCGGTTTTAACGTCTCCTCAGCAATACAGCACAACAGCAGCACTAGAGCTCAAAATCCTGACATGGAGCTTGAACCCACAACCTTCTGATTCGGAGGTGAGGGTGATACCAACTGAGCTACACTGACACAGTTGTCCCAGGTTTACTTTCTCTATCCCATTTAAGATCTGGTGCCCACAAAATATACAGTCAATTCACTTTACAGTGTATCCAGCGAAGCGCTTTGA